TTGTTTAGTCGCTGAGTCGAGTCCAACTCTTTTGTGACCCCATGGACTATAGCCCACCAGTCTCCTCTGTTCATGGGATTTCCCAGGCAAGAATACTGGAGCAGGTTCCCATTTCCTTCTCTGGGGGTTCTTCCCGACCCAAGGATCAAACTTGCATCTCCTGCTGGGCAGGCAGATTCTTTACCGCTGAGCCAACTGGGAAGTCCCTGAAATAAGGATACCTCTTCTCATTCATGGAGGGAGTAGGAATGGGTCAGGGAACAGGTTCCTGAGGAAGGAACACTTAATGGAAGCTTGAATTGGCCAAGTAAGAAAACCTAGATGACAGCAGCGGTTGGCAGGGCAGAGAGACAGTAATGGGTAGTTAATTTCACTTGTTACTTAGCAAGTTATCAACTACTGTAGCATCTTAAGAAGGAAATTCTGCTCTTGTCATTCACCACTGTCATAAAACTCTATGACTGAGACTTGCAGACTCCTTAATTAGAGCATTCACAGTCATGGTTCTCCTCCCTGGTCAGTGATCATTTTGAAATCTCTATCTCGAAGTACCAAAGAGGTTTTCAGTCTTGAGAAATCAGGACATGTGCATGAGAGGATAATTAACTGCATAAGCTAAGTGTCAAGTGAGTGGTATAGTTAAATGTTATTGGGATTCAGAGAAGGACACTGTCACGTAGATATGGAATGATAGTGGAGGGCCTTGGAAGTGGTGAAGCTTGGGTGGAAGAAACTGGGAAAAGCAGAGAAGAAAGGAACCGGACATTTCCAGGAGAGAGAAAAGAGAGAGCAAAGGCAGGCAAATGGGACTCTAGTGTTGTAGTTAGGGAAGAGGGTACTGTCCCTTGTGGGCCTTAACAGTTCTCTGCTGTTGGCCTGAAGGGGACCTTGAAGGAGTTTGAATACAAGGCTAGGGAATTGGGACTTTATCATTTGAGCAGGGAAGTGGCACGTGTGTGCACTGTTTTAAAATAAATCTGGTGGTAATTGGCTTCAAAACTAGGCATGAGAATGCCTGGTCAATAGTTCAGTTCAGTGGGTATTTATGGAGCACCTCCGGAGCGGCCTAGGGAACCGAAAGGGGTGAATGAGCAGGAGAACCTTTGTCTGGGGAACTTAAACTCCTGTGCAAAATCCTACTAGGGATTGGGCTTTTGAGAGAAAGACCTGGAGCCCAGGGGAGATGAGAGGACTCAGGGCCCCTCCCTCCCCATCCCCACAGGTTTTCAGGGTTTGGGAAACATGCCTGTTTTTGTAGAATGGTTTTCACATTTAAAAATTATTTTTACTCAAAAGAACATTATTTCATGATATATGAAAATGATGAAATTCAGATTTCATTGTCCATAAATAAAGTTTTTTGGAGCACAGCCTTGCTTGTCCATTTATGTCCTATCTGTGGTTAGTTTGGTGCTTCCCAGAAGGCTCAGTGATAAAAGAGTCTGCCTAAACCTGGGTCAGGAGGATCCCCTGGAGAAGGAAATGGCAACCCACCCCAGTATTCTTGCCTGGAGAATCCCATGGACAGAGGAGCCTGGCAGGCCACAGTCCATGGGGTTGCAAAAGAGTCAGACACAGCTTAGCGTCTAAACAACAACAAATGGTTACTTCCACAGACATAGAGCAGTGGAGTTGAGTAGCTGTAAGAGAGACCACATGGCCCAAAAGGCCCTTGAGTCATCACATCCTAACATCAGATCCTCCTCTGAAACTGAATGTCCTCCTCCCTATTATCTGAGGCCTTTCCCTCCACCCAGGCTTTTAAACATCCTTGTCATCTTTGTGTTCCTCCCAGATCCTCAGCTTCTTTCTTCTAGGACCTTTTTCCTTCCAGATATGCTCAAAACTTGTCTTACGTCAAACAAACAAGATTCATCAACTCAGAAGTCCACTGTGCTGCTGCCTCTCTGCATCTCCAGCCTCTCCCCCTGCCTTCATGACCCACCTTAAGCCAGACTTCTGACTTCATCAGTCCACTAAAACTAGTCTTGCTGAGTCCTTGGTGAATTCTAGCTGCGATCCTATACTTCCCCTAGTCCTTCCTATCTTCTTTGTTTTCTCTGAAAACATCCTGACCATTCTCTTTTCCTTAAGACCTTTTATCTTTTGGCTTCTGTGACGTTCATCTCCTTTGCATTCTCTTCCCAATTCCCCAGTCCTGTCACCCATTCACCCATCAATGGCATCTCTTCTTTTTTTTTTTTTTTTTCACTGAATATTCTTTTTATTTCCTGAAAAAGATCTTCCATCCTTTACAGCAGGAGACAGGTGACAGGCCGATGAGTTGTGAATGCACATGTCTGTGTTGTGACATTTACTGCTCATGACCCTCTGCCAACCTTGGCCTTCAGAACTTACTGGGGCTTCTCTTCTTTTTACCAGTTCCCTAAACATTGCTGACGTTCAGGAGTCTGTCCTTTGGCCTTGTGGCCAAGATTTTATTGAGCATCTACTATATCCCAGTCCCTGTGTTGAAATACTTTACACGAATTATCCCTAATCCTTATAGCAACCCTAAAAAGATTGATTTTCTTTCCTCCACGTTGTAAATAGGAGCTGGAGACTTAGCTTAAGTAATTTCCCCAAAGTCACACAGTAAGTAGCAGAGTTGGGCCGTGAACCAGCCCAACTGGTTGAAAGGCAAAGGCAAAGGCAGCTATTACCTGTGTACCAGAAACCCCTGCGCTAGACTTCATTTTTAGCTTCCAGCCTACATGTGTGCCTGCTAGACATTGCTACCTGGCAGTACCTCAGACCCAACTGATCACTTCTCCCCACCCTCTGTCCAGTCCAAAATTGGTATGTGACCATCTGTTCTGTCATTCAGTCCCTAATCTTGGGAGTTGATCTTGACTTTGCCTTTCCCCATTACTACCACTCCCCAGCACACTGTTGTCGCTAGAGCCACTCATTTCCCCCATTTTATTTTCTCTGGAATTCATCTCTCATAATGTCCACTGTCACTTGATTTATTTATACTGTGTGGCATGCGGGATCTTAGTTCCCTGACCAGGGATTGAACCCATGCCCGCTTTAATTGGGAGCACAGAGTCTTAACCCCGGGACTGCCAGGGAAGCCCCATCACTCCCCTAGTTTGGATTCTCCTCACCTCTGTCTTGGACAGCTGTCCCCCTTTGCTTAACCTCTACTACCCCTTCTGTTCGCTTACCCTTCCAGGCTGTCTTCCACAGGCTTCCAGAATGATCTCTTGTAAACCCTTCATCTGGCTGTATCACTGTCTTGGTTAAAACCAAGGTATCTTGGCTCCCTATTGTCCTGTTCCTCCACTTCATCGCTAAACTTAGGAGGCTTCACTCGTTTTTCTAGACTCTTTTTCCAGTTTCTTACCTACTGAGGTGTGTGTGGTCTCCACACCAGTGTTCTCATTCACCTCTGCATGTAGTTCTCACGGTGTTACCTCTTCTGGAATGCCCGTCTCTTCCAGTTTGTCTAAGGAACACTTTGTCAGTTAATCCCTAAAAAATAGACCAATAGGAAAACCAAAACACATCCTCAGTTCAGACAGAATGCCTCAGTTTCCAAGCCTTCACTGAGTCCAGTCTTTCTGAGAAGGATTAGGTTTCCCTTTTTCATGCTTCCCAAGCACTGTGGGTGTGTACATTGTCCAACTCAGCACAGTCTATAATCATTTGTGCACATGTGCCTCCTTAAAGTGATCCTCCTTAAAAAGAAAGCTTTTTGTCTTGTTCACCTTTTTATCTGTGGTACCTAGCTTGTTGTCTGGGATATAGGAGTTCATTAACTGTTGAATGAATACCAGTAGTGTGGCGGGAGCAGTAGACTAAAGCTTGGAGAATGATGGGGACTAAAGGAGGAAGGTGTTCGCTAAAGCTGAAGAACAGGCAGAACTAGCACCCTGATACATATAGCATCAGGACATTGACAGAGTCTTTTCCAGATGCTTTATCTCATTTTGTTCTGCTCACAAGCACAATGAGACAGCAGGGCATTCAGTTGTGCCGTGTAGAAACAAAGAACCTCTAGTTCAGAGACTTGGAAAGACCTGCTCAAAGTCCTGAACCTAAGCGCCAGTATTCGTTTTTCTCTGGCCAAGGCTGTGATGCTTCCCCTTCCCCAGGAGAGAGAAAGAAAAGGTTTGGAAGATGAGAGAGAAGCTTTCGGCTGAACCTATATGTCGAGGTTAAAGAAAAGGAGTGAGTGACTCGGGGAAGAAGATAAAAGAGCCCTACGGAATTGCTTTGTGGTATAGGATACGTTTTCAGTCGGAGAGGGCGTTGGTGAGAAATTTTTTTCAAATACTAAAGGAAAATTGGGAAGGAGGAAAGAGTTTGACCACGAGCAAGTTCAAGAGCATGGTTCCATCCAGTGAAGGCACCTTGCCGAGTGGTTCCACAGGCATTGAGGGAAGTGGAGGCTCCTGTGGATAGCACACTTTCCAGGAAGGGGGTGAGGGAGGGAGACCAAGGGGATGGCAGTTTGAGAAATGCCACACTACCAAATATTCCCAGAAATGCATGATACTTTTTTTTTCATTTTGTAGATATGAAATTAGAGAAGAGACTATGCTGGTATATAACTGAACTAGTACACCTGTGACTGAGTGTATACATTTCAGAATGTTTTAAACTCAGTTTTATATTGGTTAGTTCTCATCAGGTTACAGGCCCAGAGGACAGGATGTTGAGTCCAACCTTAAAGTCAGATTATATTTGAGTGTGGGTGAGTGTAGTAGTATCTGCCCACCCTTAGGGGGTGGGTGTTGAGTGGACACCGGTCTCATTTTCACTTAGAGTGTTTGACTACCTCTGCCTTGTCTCTGCCCATCGCTCTCATCATTTGTTGCCCTGGTGTAATTTGCTCAGCAGGAAGATTTCCCCACTCGTGTTAGACGGTGCTTTCTGTGTCGACGATGAAAGCCTGTGTATCTCGCCTGCCTCTCCCAAGAGCCAAGCTCTGGGGGGCGTTAGGCCCTGGGCAGCTCCGTTGTCCCACTGACGAGGTGTCCTCCGTCTGCCAGGTAAAGCGGTACCAGTGCACCTTTGAGGGCTGTCCCCGCACCTACAGCACGGCAGGCAACCTGCGCACCCACCAGAAGACCCACCGAGGGGAGTACACCTTCGTCTGCAATCAGGAGGGCTGCGGCAAGGCCTTCCTCACCTCCTACAGCCTCAGGATCCACGTGCGGGTGCACACGAAGGAGAAGCCATTTGAATGTGACGTGCAGGGCTGTGAGAAGGCATTCAACACGCTGTACAGGTCAGCCGCCCCCCACCCCCAGCTCCACCGGCCTCCCAGCCCGGCTCTGTCGTGACCGCGGCGCTCCCCTGCGCGGGGCAGACGCTCACGTGCAGGGCGTTAAAGAGGGCAGCCGCGCTCAGCTGCTGACACTTCCTCAGAGCAGCTGTTACTTAAACATGGACACCTCCTGGGTCAGTTACAGTCAGAGAAGCTTTGTGTCTGGATGCGTATCTCCTGGAATGACATCCCGGCCTGAGGACTTTAGTAGTTGGTATGGAATAATATCCCCTGTTGGCTCAGGAGCTTGGTATTAAGGATTCTTTGATTTCCTTCCTAGCCTCAACTTGAAGATTAACTTTTTTCTACCCCCAAGAAGTGGGGAGTGGACTGCTCATTAGCTGTTTCTCTTTTCTACTGTTTATATCAGGAGACTTATATTAGTCTTCAGCATTGGCTGTCACAGAGCAAACATAGTAATAGCTAACACTGGCGGGCTCCAGTCCATAGGGCCGCAAAGAGTCGGACACAGCTGAGTACACGTACCTAAAAAGCACTCACTGTGTGCTAGGCAGTGTTCCCGTGTGCCGCAAAGGGAATGGACGCACAGAGAGCTTTTGTAACTGGGTCAAGATCCCCTTCCGGTAGAGGAGACCAGAATTTGAATCCCAGGCAGCCTGGCTTCAGGGTCACACTCAACACCACTCTGCTGTATAATTCTTTGAGCCCAAAATGTTGATATTAGTGTATTATGACTGGATAATTCTTGTGTACTTGACCTTGATGCACATGAAGCTGACATGGGAGAGCTCTGGCGTGCAGCATGACAAAGGGGATTTCTCTGGGGTATCTTGCAGGCTGAAAGCACATCAGAGGCTTCACACAGGGAAGACGTTCAACTGTGAATCTGAAGGCTGCAGCAAATACTTCACCACACTCAGCGATCTGAGGAAGCACATTCGAACCCATACAGGAGAAAAGCCATTCCGGTGGGTCTTGCTGTTTTCTGTTTAGCACTGACTGGCTTTCAGGGGGGTGTCTTGAGGTACTCTAGTGTTTTTCAAAATGGGAAGGAAATTCCCTTTGCTAGTTCTTTGGGCAGTGTTTGCTCTCCCCAGGATAGCTGTGAACGACTGCAGACTGAAGGAGGGGTGATGGGGTCCACGAGCCTCCCTGCCTGCCCTGTGGGTGGTGGCTTCTCTGCCTCATTCTTTCCCTTGACTTTCACGAAGCGTTGATTGAAACTCAGTCATCAGTACTGGAGAAATGCTAAGATGTAGGCCCTCCTCCTGAGAACCTTTGTCTGCTCTAGTGGTAAAGAACCACAAGTAACCAGACAGTGCGAGACTGAGAGGCCCAGCACAGGGCAAGGACAGCTACCTAAGGAGAGGTGAGGAGGGGAGAGGATGAGGGGTAAGGATACTCAGGCTAGTGGTGCAAGTATCGTTGCTGTTTTTTTTAATCACTTGTTTGGTTGTTGTTTTGTAATATGTCATGTGTGCATACAAACATATAGGAGCATCTTTTTAAAAATTAATTAATTTATGTTAATTGGAGGTTAATTACTTTACAGTATTGTAGTGGTTTTTGCTATACATTGATATGAATCAGCCATGGGTGTACATGTGTTCCCCATCCTGAACTCCCCTCCCACCTCCCTCCCCATCCCATCCCTCCCCTCAGGGACATCCCAGTGCACCAGCCCTGAGCACCCTGTCTCATACATCAAACCTGGACTGGGGATCTATTTCACACATGGTAATATACATGTTTCAATGCTACCCTCTCAAATCATCCCACCCTCACCTTCTCCCACAGAGTCCAAAAGTCTGTTCTTTACATCTGTGTCTCTTTTGCTGTCTCGCACATAGGGTCATCATTACCATCTTTATAAATTCCATATATATGCATTAATATACCATATTGGTGTTTTTCTTTCTGACTGACTTCACTCTGTATAATAGACTCCAGTTTCATCCACCTCATTAGAACTGATTCAAATGCATGCTTTTTAATAGCTGAGTAATATTCCACTGTGTATATGTACCACAGCTTTCTTATCCATTCATCTGCTGATGGACATCTAGGTTGCTTCCATGTCCTGGCTATTGTAAACAGTGCTAGGAGCATCCATTTTTATCTGTAGATTTCCATATATATATATATATATATGAAGACATATATATTTAATTGATACATGTATAAATATAAGCTTGAAGGAAGGAGTTGTAGCATCTACTTTGTCCTGTGCTCACAGCATATAGCGTGGTTCTGGGCATTCAGCAGGGATTGAAAAACAGCTTTGGAGTTATTATATGATGTTTTTAACAAGGTAATCAGTTTGTAAGGATTTGTCTTAAATATAACATAGATATATTACTAAAAACTGTCTATAAACATGTCTCTGAATTTAGGCAGGAGGGATTGCTGTTACACTCATGGCATTAAATATGCTGCCTTTCTATTCGCAAATCACTCATCTCATTAGGATACCTAAAAATCAGAAAGTCTTAAGGGACCAACTCTTAAACACCAATTAAATGGAAATGTGTTTTTAAGAATTACAGATACGTTTCTGAGTCATGGCCCCTCTAAAGGCAAGAATATTTAGATCCTAGTTGGTTACTCTCCAGCTGCTGTGAAGCTTGGGTTGCTTTTTTCCCCATAGGGCTGTCAAGGGGTTTCTGATTTCTATTCAATTACATGTGTTTTTGTCATGATTAAAACTGCTAATTTTTCTTGAATGTTAGATGGGGCTTTAGACACAATGATTTTATGTACTTAAAAAGTAAAATGCTTTATAGAAGCTTTCTATTTAAAGAAATAAAATATTTTGGCTTATAAGTATATGCATTCATTCATGTAAATAGTGACCGAATGCCTGCTATGTGCAAGAACTACAGCAAGTGTGAAGAACTATGTGGACCCTGCCCTCAAAGGAATTGCAGTCTAGGAGAAGAGATAACAGATGTATGCACACAGAGATAAAATCAGATTGGGAATGACAGGTGCCATAAAAGTAGCATGTGGGTAAATGCCCTTGGAGTCCTAAGGAGGGAAATATTACCTCTGGTTTTAGTTATCAAGAAAGTAAAAGAGAAAAGTTCTCTGAAGATGACAGATAATTACATTGTAGCCAGTGTATTCTGACTGATTTTGCTCTAGTGTTGTATTTCCGGCCCTGTGCCTATGTGAAAGCCTCTGTACCCATCACTGATATTCCTTATGTTTCATTTGCCATAGTAGATTTTCCATATGCGTTCTCATTGTCAATAGAATTCTGTTGTGTCATTCATCAAAAGACTTTTATTGTTCTGGCTCTCAGCATGTGCCTTACCTGTAGGACAAGAAACATGTTTCCTGGGCCAGCCTCTCCCTCTGATCCCAGATTTGTCGCCTTACTTTTCCAGGGACCTGTCATCATTCCCATCTGTAAAACCCATTTTGTCAATCTGATCATAGTGTTCTGAGCAGTTTTAATTTAAGCTTATATTTACAAGAGATATTGAAGGTAAAGGTCTATTAGCTAATGACTGCTATCCTCTCTGCTTAAACAACTCCCTTAGGTGTGATCATGATGGCTGTGGAAAAGCATTTGCAGCAAGCCACCACCTTAAAACTCACGTCCGTACACATACAGGTGAGTTTAGGCTAATTTTTATCTTTTAATCTTCGTTGAGCCAGTAAATACGTGTGTTTCCATTGAGACCTGTACAGCTTTGTGGAGAGAGCAAGTCTAATCAGTTGGCCTTCACCTATAATGTTTGAGTTCCTCTCAGAAGTTAAAAAGGATCTAAAGGCTGGACTCAGGAGCTTAACCTTAAGAAATAAAACCAATTCAGAGATACTCAGTAAAGAATCTGAGGGGGGAAGAAAGAAACTAGTCTTTTCTTTCGACTTCCTAGGAGCAGGCCATTCTCAGTGCTTTACTCTGCATTAAATTTTAGGACTGGAATGATTAACTTGTGGGTAATTGATCCAGTGTATTACTTGAACCCTCATATTTACCTCCCTATGTTAGGGGAAAGTAGATGTCTCAATCCAGTGAAATGATTTTATGGTGAAATTAACACCTCTTCTCATTCTTGCAGGTGAAAGACCCTTTTTCTGCCCCAGTAATGGCTGTGAGAAAACATTCAGCACTCAATACAGTCTCAAAAGTCACATGAAAGGTCACGATAACAAAGGAAACTCATACAGTGCACTTCTAAATCACAACGGATCAGAGGTGTGGAGTGTTTTGTCTCTTGTTTTGATCTGGGCACCATAGAACAGTGACAATTGTTTGTGTCTCAGAAGGTTAAAATGCCTTCTCTCTAAGTCTGTTAGCGAGAGAGAAGGAATCAGTGTCAAGATCTGTGTCTTTGTAAGGGGGTGGCAGAAGCCAGAAGTTTCACCAGGCTCCCTGGGCGTTAGCCCCTGATTGGGCTCCTGCTCCCCCCCGTCAGGTCTGATGGAAAAGGCGTCTTGGAACCAGAGGTCTCAGAATGGCTACCAAAGGGTTGGCCAGGTGCTCTCAAAGGGTGTTATTTTCCCATTCATGTTGTGTAAAATGATACATTTGAACTTGAGTTTGGGACACGATTTAGTGATTTGCTTCACCCTTCCATTAATCCATCGCTGGAGAACCAGGTGGAGTCTGGGGCAGGGGTGTCCCCTGCCCTTTAGAATTGTCTGTGGACTTAAAGGTTCGATAGCCACTGTCTTTAAGGCACTGACTCACAGATAGGCCTCTGCCTAGGTTTAGGTGGTTCTGTCTGGTTTTTACCAAGCCCTCTCCCCTGCAGCTTCTTGCCAGAGAGATCCTGGGACACATTTACTGTTTCTACTTCTGATATGGTATTGGGCACTTACGTTATATCTTTTGCACCCAAAAAGTGAGAACTGTTATTATGTTACTATTTTATAAATAAAGTGGAAGCTCACTGACCCCCTTTAGAATAACAAGGTTCTTAAAGTATGTAATATGGTTTTTTGGTTTTTTTGGGGGGCGGGGTATAATATGGTTTTGATTTGGGGAGAGACAGCATGATTCTGTGGTTACTGATTTTTAAACAGCAAGTGAAGTGAAGTTGCTCAGTCATGTGCGATTCTTTGTGACCCCATGGACTGTAGCCTATCAGGCTCCTCTGTCCATGGGATTTTCCAGGCAAGGGTACTGGAGTGGGTTGCCATTTCCTTCTCCAGGTGCAAAGGATCCTTTTAAATGGACTCTTCCCCCTGTATCTTATTGGTGATAATAACTAACATTTACTGAATGTTTATGCCAAGTACTGTGCTAAGTTTTCTTCGTGAATTATCCTGCTTACAAGAGGTCAGTATTATTATTCCCATACCACTGATAGAGAAACCCGAGGTAAGGAGAAATAAATAACTTGCCTGAGTATCCAAAGCTTGTAATTAGCACCCTTTAGGCAGACCATCTGATTCCAGAGCCTGGTTCTTGACCCCCACATCATAGGAGGCAAAGCAGCATTGGTTATGAAGAGTCTGAATTCACATCCAAGCTCCACCACTAGTCACATGACCTTAGGCAAGTGGCTTCTTTGTGCCTCAGTCTCACTGTAAAACCAGATGAAAACACTAAGATTTGAGTTTTTGTCTACAAAGCTGCATTTATGAGGTCATGATCAGTTTTCTCGGTTTTGTAACAATCACAGTTTCTCACCAATAGCTTCTACGCATTGGAGGTCCCAGTGCACAGGGTCCAGACTTCACATCTCTTGGCTGACTGTTGGCTCCCTAGTGAAGGGAATCTGCTCTAGTCTTAGGCTTTCAAAGCCATCAAGATTGCCTTTGAGTCCTAAATTTATATCTCGAGCCCAGATTTCTTCCTGAACTTTAGACATGTATTCAACGTCCTACTCGATGTCTCCACCCAGCTGTCACCTACGTTTCCCAGTCCTGACACGTCCAGCCTGTTCCTCCTGCAGTCTTCCACGTCTTAGTAAATGGCACCTCTGTTTTTCTAGTGGCACAGGCCAAAAATACTGGAGTCATTCTTGACTCCTCTTTTTTTCCCCATTCCACACACCCACCAGCATCTTTTGGTTCCTTCTTTCTAGAATCTGATCTGATTACTTCATTCAAGCCCTTGTCATTGTTTGGTCTGGATTCTTGCAATGACCTGCTAAGTGGTTTTCTTAGCACCTTTCCCCTCCCTTCTCCCCACTGATACTCCACCCTGATCCTCCTAAACAATGAGGCAAATCAAGTCTGTTTTCTGCTTATAACCCTTCAGTAGCTTCTTATATCACTTAAGGTAGCAGTCAGAATCTTTACAGTGGCCCAGAAAGTCCTAGACACTCTGGCCTGGTCACTTCCCTCTTCATTTACTTCACTTCATTTCACTTGAGCCGTACCATCCACCTTGTGGTTCCTTGAACTGGGGAAGCCCACCTTGCCTCCAGGCTTTTGTGCACACTGTGCCCTGTGTGTGAATCGCTTTCCCCACATGTGTGCATGGCCCAGGTCTTCTTCAGTATCTGCCCTAAGGTCACTTTATCTAAGAGTCCCTTCCTAATCTGATGAAAGAGCCTCTCTTACCCTGGCCTTCCCCCACTCTCCTCACTCTCTTGTATACTGTATATCTATTTGGTTTTTTGTCTGGCCCCCTCCCCACACTGACTGTAAGCTCTTTGGTGGCGGGACTTTATTATTGTATCCCTGGGCCTGGAACAGGGCTTAATACATATTAGATGCTCAGTGAGTATTTGTTAAATACACGCACGAATCGGAACATATGATGCATGAGGTAAAGTAGGGCGAGCACATAAAGTATGTGAATCACAACTGGCATTCTAGGAATCCAGAATTCTGAGTTAGCCCAGAAACCCGTATCGGAATAGTAACCCCTCAGTACCACTAAGTGACAGTCCCTGAGATGCCCATCTTGGGGGCACAGTGAAGTGATGGAAGGAAGATGGACTCCAGTCAGAAGCGCTGGGTCTGTGTTGTGTTGATTAGCAGTTAATTATGTTAATTGGACCATTCCCTGCTAATCTTAGCATTAATTTTCTCATACTTAAAATGGAAATGTGGAATAATAATACAGAGGATTATATGAATAGTAAAGAAGTCATGTAAAATTAATTTGTCAATGATAGACCAATTTCACAAATATTACTGATTTCATGTTATTGTAGCTTTTGTTACTCTGGAGCCTGAGTCATGAGATAATTCTTAAACTCTACTAACCATGTTTAAGAACGTAAACGATTTCTTCTTAAGAATATCAGGATTTTAAAAATTGAAGTAATTCATGTAGCCTTTGTTTTGAATGGTTTTTTATTCTCTAGACGTTTGGATTCTTAGGGACGCTGTAATCAAGTGTTTTATTACATAATAGAATACAGTAAATCCCAATTTTTTGTCAATTAGAATTTTTTTTTCTTTCACAGGATACAAATCACTCACTTTGTCTGAGGAATTTAAGCCTTCTGTCCACAGATTCTGAATTTCAAGAAAATTCTAATACAGTAAGTGTACCTGTGAAACAGATGTTATTAAAATAAGTACAAGAATTGAGCCTTCCTTTGGTGGGAAAATTGAGTGAGGCCAGTCTTGGAAGTTTTTCAGATTGAGTTGTTTTCAATTACTAACCACTTAGGGTGTTTTGATTTTGTTTCCTGATAAGAGCTCTCATTGGAGAGGTTGTTCTCTCTGACACATCGTGCCTTTTGTCCCAGATCACTCACTTGATAACCTCCTGCACCAGAAAATAACTTTCTTTGTTTATTTAGAAAGTATTTATTGAGTGCCTACTCCAGTTGGGCAGAGTGCTGGTACTGAGCTGGTAGTGGTGAGGAAGTAAGTGTGGTCTGTCCTTGAGTAGCTTAAAATTCCTCCACTGTAAGGGAGAGCCAGGATTCCAGTTTGCAGACTTCTTAAGCCCTGTCAGTCTCACCTGAGTCAGTGCCTCCCTGTCTTTGCACACACCGCACAGGGCTTCCGAAGGGGGCCACGTCTTCAGGCCCACTGCTCGGAGACAAACCCAGTGTCTCTTGACCTGCTTGCTTTGGTTCTCTCTGCCATCCCCATGGCTCCATGCTGTGTCTTGCAGACCACTGAATCAATCCTGAGCTTGTGCTCCTTCAGGGAGATCCATGAGCTTTATTGGGTCACTGGCACTGGTGGTTAAGGATGCATTTTTGGTTGTTTTTCTCTGGTAAATAAATATAGCTTAGGTTAGATTTTCTGTGAGTATATGCATAATAAATAAGGAGGAACCAATGTGATAGGAGGTATTTGAACAGTCTTTCTACAGTGTAGGCTCTTGGGCTGCACCCAAGCCTACTGAGTCAATCTCCTCTGGGAGAGGCACCTGACACTGCACAATTTTATATTAGCACACCAGGGCCTGGGTTCTCCTAGTAATGGCAGAATTGCTCTTATCAGACCAGCCCTCCCACAGAAAACAACTGTGTATGCTGGGCAAAATATGAAAACAACTATTTGAAGGCACCAGAGAGCAACCCAAACAGGCAGAGGTAACATTTGAATGAAGGGGCCACTTGGAAGATGGCAATGGCACAGGATGGGTCTTCAGGCTTTATGGCTTACCCATCTCAAAGCAAGCCCAGTTGATACCAAACAAGATGGCTCAAGCTCAGTAAACGCTCACTCTTACTGGAGTGACTACCCAGAGGACAGAGTTCAGGGCTTCTGCAGCACCTGGAGAGTTGCAGGGGATGACCTGGAAAGGAAGAAGCACACAGGTTGAGTCCCAAGTTCTGTGTATGAGCTGTGTCCAAACCTCTAGTTGACCCCTGAACTGTGGGTGTGTGGGGCAGACCCCAAGCAGTCCAGCTGAGGCTAAAGAGCTGGATGAAGATGCCAGTTGCCATCCATTGCAGGGAAGACAGAGTTTGGAGTTTAGAGCATAGCCAAGTCCCTGGAATGTTACAGCAAACAACCAAACACTCTTCCAGGAAGTGTAACAGAATCCCGAGTCTCTGCAGCGTATCATTTGCAAATGTCCAGGGTTATCCAAAATTAGTAAACATCAGACATAGGAGAACATTACCTCTACTCAAGAGAAGAGGTCATTTATGGACTACGGAGACTGACCCCAAGATGAGCCAGATGATAGAATTAGTGGGCAGGCATTTATAAGTAGCTCTTAAGATGCTCAAGCATATTAAGGATTACTTGTAATGATTTAATAAATAGGAACTCTTAGCAGAGAAATAGAAACTATAAAAAAATGTGCCAAATGGGAATTCTGGAACTAAAAATATATCAAAATTTAAAAATTCACCAAATGAGCTCAACAGCAGACTGGAAATAACAGAAGGAAGAATCAGTTGAATTGAAGAGAGATCAATAGATATTAACCAATCTGAAGGACCCCCCCCCCACCCCCGCCAAAAAAAAAGCACTTTGTATGATTGTTTGGCATATTCACATTTCATAGCTGATGCTTTAAGAGTACTGGGCCAAGATTGCCCTCTAAACCACATAGTGTAAGATTTCTGGGTATAATGTCTTCTTAATATCAGAGATCTTGGGAAATGGTTGAGGTATCCACTCCCTGACTGGGACTTGACGCATGACTGAGGAGCTTTCTGGAGCCCTGAGGTCACCAGGTAGGGAACCATATGAGGGGACATTGAGTGAGTGAAGTCGCTCAGTCGTGTCCCACTCTTTGTGACCCCATGGACTGTAGCCTACCAGGCTCTTCTGTCCATGGGATTCTCCAGGCAAGAGTACTGGAGTGGGTTGCCATTTCCTTCTCCAGGGGATCTTCCCGACCCAGGGATGGAACCCGGGTCTCCCGCACTGCAGGCAGACGTTTTAACCTCTGAGCCGCCAGGGAAGCCCCTGAGGGGACGTTGGGTACTTGTGAAAAAGGAAAGCTTTTTCTATCCATAATTTACAACAGCAGGAGAGAGGCCTGTTTTTCTCCCTTGGGATCAAATTATATGTTGTGTCCTTGTCCCCCAGCATTTAGTCTTTCAGACTAAGACCAAAGTTCCTTGAATAGGATGGATTTTGCCTCGCTTGCTTTAAAAGAAATGATAATGAGTTGTTGAAATTAAATGATGTATTTTTATGAGATCATCATTTTCCAGGTTCCTGGGCAGCCTGCAGGTTTCTGTGTGTCCTAGGTGTGAATTTGGGCTGAAGCTCTGAGGAGCAGCCCACTGGGCCTGTTGGGCCCTGAGCCTCGGGATCCATCCTGTTCCCAAACAGCTCAGTGTTCTCATGTCTCTGCTTCAGGCCCCAGAGGCTCAACCTGTTCTCTCCTCACTTGGGGCGGTGGTTGCCACTCGCTCTGCCCCCAGGGTTATTGCCCTGAAGCCTGGCAGTGGCTGAGTCAGTCCCATTGGCACTTACCTTTTTTAATTAAAAAAAAAAACAAAACAGCCTTTTTATGGAGGTATAATATACATACAGAAAAGTACACCTGTCATAAATGTACAGCTTGATGAATCATCACAGTTCATCATATTCCTGTAACTGTTGCAGGAGGGAGAGTGTGGAGCACAAGAGGATGGCCACATCTGAGTCCCTGGGATGGCCACCAAGTGTAGGTTCTTGGCTTTGTGCAGGAAGGAATTCAAGAGTGAGCCATAGTAGAGTGAAAGAAGGTCTGTTCAGGGTGGAAGCACTCGGTATACAAGAATGTGGGCCATCTCGGAAGGCAAGAGAGGCCCAAGAGGCAGCAGGGTGTGGGGCTGTCAGAGTTTATAGGGGTGGGTAATTACATAGGCTAATGAGTAGGAGGAGTATTCCAGCTGTCTTGGGGAAAGGGTGGGGATTTCCAGGAATTGGGCCACTGCCCACTGTTTGACCTTTACAGAAGACAACTCATGGCCATTTTGGACCTAGTTGCTTCTAATCACTTTATATTGTGTCCTCAGGCCATGCCACTGGGCTTCCCTGGTGTCTTAGCAGGGAAGGATCCGCCTGGGAATGCAGGAGACACAGGTTCCATCCCTGGGTCAGGAAGATCCTCTGGAGAAGGAAATGGCAACCCACTCCAGTATTCTTGCCTGGGAAATCCCATGGACAGAGGAGCCTGGTGGGCTACAGTCCACGGGGTTGCAAAAGAGTTGGACACAACTGAGCAACTAAACAACAACAACAGGCCATGCCATTCTTCTAAAGGTTGTGCCCTGCCCCCTTCCTGTAACCAGCACGCAAATCAACAGATAGAACATTCCCAACAACCTAGAAATGGCAACCCACTCCAGTATTCTTGCCTGAAAAATCCCATGGATGGAGAAGCCTGGTAGGCTACAGTCCAGGGGGTCGCAAAGAGTCAGACACGACTAAGCGACCTCACTTCCACTTTCACTTCCAACAACCTAGAAACCCCCATCAGGTCCTTTAAGAGTAACTACTTAGGTTATCCTTAGGTTCTGGCTTCTTACTACCTAAGATGAATTTTGCCTGTTTCTATGTTTTCTATAATTCGAATGTGGCCTATACTCATTTGTCCTGGCTTCTTTCTTGCAACATTTTGTTTGAGCAATTAGTCCATGTTGTTGCATATTTGGATTATTTGTTCTCATTGTTGAACAGTTATTACACTAAGTGAATATAAGAGTATGTTCTGTCTCCTGCCCTTGGGCATTTGGAAAGTTTCTAGTTAGGAGCCATTACAGTAGTACTGCTGTGAAAATGTGATTCTTGTGCATCATCTTCTGAAGTCACACAGACTCTTTCCTTTAAAACAGTGTTATTCCTATAATGATTCATAAACAAGTAGAACAAAAAATAACAGTCATGAAGAAATTGCAAAGCTTGCGGCTTAGTGGTAGTTGTTAGCTCACTATTTTTCAAACTGGGTGGTGCATCTTTATTGGGTTATAAAATAGTGGTTTATAATCAACATTTTGAGGACAGCAATAGAATAGAAAATATAGAAGACATTGCAGATCATAAGGACAGGCTCTGTTCCATAGACTTTTGTTTCAGTTATACATTCATATGTATGTAATATATTTTATAAATTATATATAATATAAATTATTATATATACCCACTCCTGGAGAAGGGAATGGCACCCCACTCCAATACTCTCTCCTGGAAAATCCCATGGATGGAGGAGCCTGGTAGGCTGCAGTCCACGGGGTCGCTAAGAGTCAGGTACGACTGAGCAACTTCACTTTCACTTTTCACTTTCATGCACTGGAGAAGGAAATGACAACCCACTCCCGTGTTCTTGCCTGGAGAATCCCAGGGACAGGGGAGCCTGCTAGGCTGCTGTCTGTGGGGTCGCACAGAGTCGGACACCACTGAAGTGACTTAGCAGCAGCAGCAGCGTGTACCACCCCAGTATTCTTGGACTTCCCTGGTGGCTCAGATGGTAAAGAATCTGCCTGCAATGTGGGAGACCTGGGTTCAATCCCTGGTTTGGGAAGATCCCCTGGAGAAGGGAATGGCAACCCACTCCAGTATTCTGGCCTGGAGAATTCCATGGACAGAGGAGCCTGGCAGGCTACAGTCCATGGGGTAGCAGAGAGTTGGACACGACTGAGTGACTTTCACTTTCATAAATTATTATAAATTATATAATTTCCTACTTTGTGTCATGATGAAAAGCTTCAAGGCATTTTCTTGGCCTGTGATTCCTAACTCCCTCTGGACTAGAGGCTGGAAGCCTTACCTAGGTTTCTGCCTTCGTGTTACAAAGAATACAAACAAACTTTTTGGCCAGCCCTATATCACACTGGTCGTCAGCTTCCCTGAACTTCTTGGAATCTTGCTTTTGTCACTGTTGCTCTACAAAATGCGAAGTGGAGGTGGACCACAGAGAAAAGAATTACTCTTTTTCCCCTTCGCCTAAATAAACTAAAGGGAAGCCTAGAGGTGGTCATTTTATTTGGTGCCTGGCAGGAGTCAAGCCCTCAGGGCACTAGGTGTTTTGATTTTTCATAGCTTTTCAAAATGCCTCTGACCTTTTCTTAACTGTAAGTTAGAAAGAAATGACTTGGAATGACAGTGGTGAGGATAAGGCCATTATTATTGTCTGTTATTATAAGTTTCTTTATATTGTTTGATTCACCACCATGTGTACATATTAGAATATTATAGATGTTATATAATAACCTTGAAAGATATTCACAATATATTATTATTATTATTACATGAGAAAAGCAAATTCCAAGTAATAGATATTATACAACACCACTTTTATGTAGGATTTTCTCTTTCAGAGCAGGAATCAGCAAACTTTTTTTTTTTTGGTAAAGGGCCAGATAGATAATTTCAGCTTTGTGGCCCATACATTCTCTGCACAACTCCTCAGCTCTGCCATTGCAGTGCAGAAGCTATAGAGATAATTCAAAAGTGAACCAGAATGCCTATTCCAGTACAACTTTATTTGCAGAAACAGGCATTCAGCCAGCAAGTCAGTTTGCCAATTCCTGCTTTAGAGTGTTTGAAGACCCAGCTCTTCAGTGTCTGGGGCTTAGGGGAATAAATGTCACCTTAGGAAAAGAGAAGTTAGAAACAGGAAGCATAGCCAAAGATCGTTCTCATCCTGCTGCTCTGTGCTGTCTCGTGATGCAGACCTGCTTTTGGATGGCACGCCTCATACGTTTGTCTCTGTCTCTGACACAGGGCCAGAATCTCAGCACTCTCTCACCAGCAATCATTTTTGGACCAATGTTCCAGAAGTCAGATGATCCGGCAATTCAGGAAGATCCTCAACAGACAGGTTTGTTACACAGACTCTCTTCCTGCTCCGATCTCTGCACTGGGAAGGAGAATTCACACTGTTGACACAGTAGATGAAAAGCACAGTGACATATTTCAGGTCCTTTGCATGAAGTGCACTTTCATTGAGGGATCAGAGAAGGGTGGGCTTTTTAGCTCAATTCCATTTTTTTTCCCCCTGCTTCCCTCATCAAGGGTTTACTTGAGGATCTACTTTTCCTGGACCCTCAAATGAAGAGGTCCCCGTTTCCAGCAGCTTTTGTTGGCTTCAAAAAGTGAGAGGAGTCATGAGCACTTTCTTCTGATGTGACTCCCCATTCATGAGTGGGCAGAGTCCACAAACCAAACTTCAGATATGTAGGTCAAACTGCGTTTGAACGAAAATGTGTCCCTGAAGCTTCACAGTAGTTAGAAAGTGTGTTCAGTGGTCATATGCCAAGAAAAGAATATCTAATCTCTTCTCCACAAAAGCCACAGGACTCATTTTTTTTTATGGTTAGACCCATACTAGGTCTTCACGTTTAGAAAGTGAGGTTGATCGTGAAGCCTGGTACTTTGACCAGAGGGGTCATTACATGAAAAGCAGAGAGCTAGCCTGTCTGCAATGAAGGAATCAACCCTGACAGACTTCAGCTGTCTTTGGTGTAGCCCATAGAGACTGTGTTTTTGTGGCTTATATAAGGGTTGGAATGTGTATCTATGTTTCTATTTCTTTTTCTTGCCAGCTGCCTTGATTGAAAGTTTTAATGGTGATGCGGAGTCAGTCAGTGATGTTCCGCCATCCACAAGACATTCAGCATCTTTATCTCTTCCACTTATACTGCAGCCTGGCATCTCCGAGCCACCTCAGTCTCTACTACCAGCCTCAGCACCGTCCGCTCCTCTGCCTGCTCCTTCCCTAGGAACTGGTTCCCAGCAAGCTGCATTTGGCAACCCCCCTGCTCTTTTACAACCTCCAGAAGTGCCTGTTGCCCACAGCACACAGTTTGCTGCTAATCATCAAGAGTTTCTTCCGCACCTCCAGGCACCACAGCCCATCGTACCAGGACTCTCTGTTGTTGCTGGGGCCTTGGCGTCAGCAGCAGCAGTGGCATCAGCCATGGCAGCACCACCCCAACCACAAAGTACTACTGAGCCCCTGCCAGCCATGGTCCAGACTCTGCCCCTGGATGCCAACTCTGTCCTAACTAGTAATCCCACTATAACCATCACCCCGACTCCTAGCACGGCTATCCTGCAGCCCAGCCTAGTCATGGGAGAGCAGAACTTACAGTGGATACTAAATGGTGCCACCAGCACACCGCAAACTCAAGAACAAATTGTAAGTATGATGTGGAAAGGGATCCAGTGGGGTGACGTATATTTCTGTGGTTAACATGTTCAGAGGCCTTTACTTCAAAAAAGGAAAACCGCTGTCATTTCTACCCTGAAACACATCATTCTACCAGTCATTTCCCCCATAATCAGTGTAAATCGGGGAATGTTGCATTCAATACTTAAAATAGAGGGCCAGAGAAACAATTTTCAAATTTACCTAGGTATTTCAGCTGCGTTCTGATTCTGTCAACTCCGACAGGATAGCCCAAGAATGATCTCCAAGGCAGAGTCCAGCCTAGGCTGAGGGACTGATGGGACCTCATCAGATGGAAACAGACCGCAGTGGCCAAGTCAGAAGTAATCTGTGCTCCCAGAGTCCATCGTAGGGCCATATTCTACCCAAGTGTGTGGTCTCCTTGGCTAAGGAAATGATGTGGTTGTTCAGCTGAGTATATTTTGAGGGCCTGCTCGATACCAGGTACCACACAGGATACTGTTGGAAATCTGGAAAAATGAAAAGAACATGATTTCTTTTTGATAAAAACTTATATTCTAGTTATAGAGGCTAAAATGCCTAAAAGAAAATTAATGCTACCAGTAGATAAAGTGTCAAGTAATAAAAATAATGGTAATAAAAAATAACAATGGCTGTGACTTATTGAGCCCTTACTATATGTATGGGCTTCCTATGCTAACTAACTTATTAAAATTGAGGATCTAATGTGCCAGTCATTACCTTAGGTACCTTATTTTTAGATTACACATATTTTTTAGGTTTTATCGAATAGATAGTAAGAACTTCCATACACTTCCTGCTCCCTGCCCACCCCCAGCCTAGTTTCCCTCATTATTAACTGATATCAATGTGGTCCTTTTATTGTAAGTGAATTATTATTGATAAATGGTTATTAACATCTCTATATGTTTGTATCTCTAGATGTGTCACCCCCCGTGCTAAGTATTTTAATCACAGCAATCCTAGGAAGTAGATATGATTTTATCAATGGAGAGCTGAGACCCAGAGAAGTTAAGTCCAAGGTCACACAGCTTATAAATGGCAAAGCCTAGACAGACCAGTCCCAGAATCCAAGCTCCTGATTGCTACCTTGTGCTGCCAGACGAGGGGTTCAGAGACTAAAGGCTTGTTGGGTGGCCATACAGGTCAGCCGAGACTTCTTGAGGTATGAGCAGGAATTACGTGGAGGAAAGGTTGCACTCAGTAGGAGTAGGTCTGGGTGGGTGTATGATGCTATCAAACAAACTGGAAAGGCAGGTTAGAGCTAAATGGTAAGAGCACTCAAACTCCATAAGTGGCATGGATGCCAACCACCTCTGGAGGCACCCCAGTCCCAGTTTCAGATGGGCAGCATCCCTGGAACGGTCTCTTCAGCATTATGATCCAGTCTGCCTCCAGGTAGTTGGGTTTTTTAGTTGTTATTATTGTTTTCATCATTTAAAATTATTTTCAGGGGCTTCTCAGGCAGTCCAGTGGTGAAGGCTCCGCACTTTCACTGCAAAGGGCAGCCAACCCCTGCTTGGGGAACTAAGATCCCGCAGGCTACATGACACGGCCAAAACAAAAATTTTTTTCCCATTATTTTTACTGTTCTTATATTTGCTGATGGCTGTATACAGAAAATGATCCTACTATCTCATATATGATAATGGCATTTTTTCTTTTTTCTTCCAGTTTTATTGAGATATAATTGATAGAGTATAAGTTTGAGGCATACAGCATAATACTTTGACACAAGTTTAGTGAGCATCCATCATCACATGATAGATACAAAATTAAAGATACAGAAAAAAATGTTTGCGTGTGAGAACGTTCAGGATTGACTGTTTAGAGAGCTTTCATGTGTAACATACAGCCGTGTTAATCTGCTAATCATGTCCATCACATGGTGCGCTGTGCCCCAGTCCTTTATCTCCTAACTGGAGGTCTGGCTCTGCGGCTGCTTTCATCCAATTCCCCTCTCCCCTCCCCACCCCTGCCTCCTGTAAGCACAAAACTGATCTTTCAGTGAGTCTGTTTGCTTGTTTTGAAGTACCACAGACCTGCCTCTGTTCCTGTTAAGACAACATAGTGATATTTCTGTACATTTCAAAATGATCACCATGATAAGTAGTCACCATATGTGACACCACGACATATGTCACCATCCAGAGATTTACATACTTATTGACTATATTCCCCACACTGTACATTTCATACCCATGACGCATGTGTCTTGCAAGCGGACTTTCATAGTTCTTAGCCTCCCTCGCCTGTTTCCCTCCTCCCCTCTGGCAGCCACATGCCTCCTCTTTCCGGATCTGTGCTGCCCTGGGGAGCTGCGTGGAGCAGCTGCTGCTTTTTCCATCCAGCTCGTTTCCGTGTGGGCTTCCCTGGTGGCTCAGATAGCAAAGAATCCGCCCCAGTGTGGGAGACCTGGATTCAGTCCCTGGGTTGGGAAGATCCCCTGCAGGAGGGCATGGCAGCCCACTCCGGTATTCTTGCCTGGAGAATCCCCATGGACAGAGGCTACAGTCCGTAGGGTCGCAAAGAGTCGGACATGACTGAAGTGACTAAGCACACGCACGTTTTCATGTATTTGTATGTGAGTCTCATCCTCCATAACTGCTTCATAATGTCTTCCCCTATAACTTAGCCAGAAGCATTCATATTCCTCCTAGACTCATCCCAGAGGCACTTTTTATTTTCCTTAAAAGGGCGAAAGATAAAGCCCTTTTTAATATGACTTGGAGAAAGCAAAAACCCTATAGCCAATTGTACTAAAGTGAGGGGTGATTTCTGGGCACAACTTGATGGTCCTACTTAGTACTCATATGTACAGCTAGTATTTGCTGAATCCCCATGGTGAGCCCCAGGCTTCACATGCGTCATCTCATTTCATCCTTTTGGGGCCTTTGGGACAGTCTTTGGATTGTCATCCCAGTTTTTACAGGTGAGGAAACCAAGACTAAGAGGTTAAATTACTTGCCTGACATCAACAACTAGTAAGTGACCAAGCCTGAACTTGAATCCTGGTGTGGCTGAGTCCAGAGCCCCCCTTGGGCACCACCCTGTGCAGCTTACACCATGCTGCCCAGGGCCTTCATAGGTCTTCTGCCTGTGAGAGGAAGTCTTGACCTTTCCTTAGCCTGCAGCTTAGTCCTCAAGGGGTGAAAAGAACTTTGGGAGTCAGCAGGGAGTAGAGAGCTTAGAGGGGAAGCTAGCCCCCTAGCTCCCCCTGAGAAGACCGTCCACTTGAGAAAAGCAACCTTGGAGGAGCCTTTGTGCACATAGAACCTACTGGATTAAGCAGCTGGGAGACAGCCAAGGAGTAGGGGACAAAAACGGCTACATTGTTAGCACTGAATGTCCAGCAGTGTGGTGACTTCATGTCAGAGCACAAACAAAGCATCGCTCAGGGCAAAAAATCCCTAAACACTGAGGGTTTTCTGTCCTCTTGGATGACTGTTACAATTGGGGAGGCGTCATGTCCTTGGGGATCTATCATATTTGAGTAGCCATAAATGTGATTTTTTTTTTCCCCCCAGCAGCAAGCATCTAAAGTTGAGAAGGTGTTTTTTACCACTGCAGTACCAGTAGCCAGTAGCACAGGTATGTAATTCTGTGTTAGCTTTAAATGGAAGTCAACTCTCTGGGCCCCCTGAGGCACAGTTAGTTAATCTTGCTTTGCCCTGGATTTTAATTTTTTTTTTAATTAAATTTATCGTGTATTATTTTTCTATTAGAATATTTCATATTCTTACAGCTATTGAAAGTTACTGCACTTAGAGCATAACATTAACATTTAACATTCTTTAACTAGTAACAGTTCTTTCCCTTTTACATGTAGTCTTTAATGTAGCCAGAAAAAAAGTCTGAATCACAGTTATTGCTAAAGAGAGAAGTTATTAATTCACTGGATTCTTTTCTAATTACAGTAATGAAGAAATAGCATCTGGGTCAGAAACTCCTATAAACCTAAAGGGTCCTATTTCTCAAACACTTTATTTTATACATTAAAAAACTCAGGCCCCCAAAGGGGGTCAGTGAGTTTGTGGCAGAGCCAAAGCACTAGTTCAGACAGGCCTCGCCCCCCCCACCTGTTCTCTTGCCCCGTGGTCTCTAGCTCTTTTGAGACACGTGAAGCCTGTCTGAACTCAGAGTGTACTTGTGCACAACAGACATATGCAAGAGAGAAGGAACGTGTGCACAACTGTGTCAGAGACCTGGCTGCAAAGTTGAGCAGGATGTCCTAAAGGAGGTCAGAGCCTCTGGGGCAGGCAGGGCTAAATGTTACAGTGTGGACTGGCTCTTATTGCCCTTGGGCCAGCCCTAAGGTATAAGCCTGCCGCAAACACTGCCTGGAAGCACTGGGAGAGGAGGGGAATGAACTCAGAGATGAGTTAAGTTCTCCAGAAGAATTGAGGCAGGACGAGCTCTTGAGCCCAGAGCTTTGAGGAACGTGCAGAGAGAGAGAGGCATCCACTGTGGCTGGCATGGCGGGTGCCTGGGAGAGTGGCTAGAGATGAAGCTAGGAGAATAGGGTGCATTTAGATGGTGTGTGGCTTTTCTGTCTTGGAGGGGATGGGGAGAGTCAGAGGCTTCTTACTTGAGGAAGAATGCGGTCCAGTTTCAAGCAGAACAAAACCCGGAGCGTGGCATCCAACCCTTCCCATCGCTCTGCCTCCGCGGGGCTCCGCTAGTCTCACACCCTCCTGCCCTGCCCTTGCCCTGTGGCTCCGTGAAGAGCAGTCTCTCTTGCCTCTCTCGCAGGGAGCGCGGTACAGCAGATTGGCCTCAGTGTTCCTGTGATCATCATCAAACAAGAGGAGGCCTGTCAGTGTCAGTGCGCGTGCCGGGACTCTGCCAAGGAGCGGGCGGCCAGCAGGAGGAAGGGCTGTCCTTCCCCGCCCCCTCCCACGCTGAGCGCCCAGCCTCCTGACGGGCCCAGCCTGAAGCTGCCCCCACAGACTTTCTCCCCACCCCCGATCCCCCTGTCCTCCTCGTCCGCTGCTGCCCCTCCCTGTGAGCAAAGCAGACAGGCGGTGACTCCTTCAGACCCGCAGACAGAGCCGCTCCGTGCCATAGATATGTCAGAGTTTCTGTCCCTCCAGAGCCTGGACACCACTTCCAATCTGATTCCCATTGAAGCACTACTGCAGGAGGAGGAAGAGATGGGCCTGACCAGCAGCTTCTCCAAGTGAAAGGCCCACTTGTGCTCCCCTCCTGGAACAGGCCGAGCAGGAAGCAGGAGGTGTGTGATGCCTGACATCATGGGGGTCAGCAATTTGAAGGATGAAGAAATCTACTGTTTGAAATCCTCACCTTTCAGACATATTTTCTTTATTCCTATCCCAGGAGCATCCATTTTTAATGAACTGATCTTTGGAAAAAAACAAAACAAAAACACAAAAAAAAGCTAAGTTATAAATGAACTGTTTGGCTGCACTGTATGTCACTTTTGCTTATTGTCATGTGAACTTGGAAATTAAGGTTACTCGTATGCATAAAAATTGTAAATGAAAGGGTGTGGTTTCCATCAATCTGATGCTGCCCATCACTTGCACTGGGGTCTTTGTAGCCTGGGCAGTGGAGTTCAGTGTGTTGGTTGTTGCGGTGCCCCGTGTGTCTTTTGAGGCTGAAGCTTGCTTGCAAGGCCAGACCCTCACTCCATCCAAGAGGCAAGTGGCAAAGGCAGGTCAGACAGCCGTGAGCTGGACAGGGACCGGGCGAGGTGGTTTTGTGGTCTGTGGTTGGTGATGGTGGAGTTGAGGGTGACTATGGCTGATGTCACCCTGCAGCCAGCGGCATCACAAACGGGCATCCAAAATCCTGGTCCGAGGCTGTGGGGACTGTCCGCTTCTGCGGGAGCCCTAGGCAAGTTGTTGACTGCTCTCTGTCCGCGACACCTGTGCAGAGCAGGCTCTATCAACGCGATCATACTCTTTGCTCTGGGTTCTCTCTCTCTCTCTGCTGGTTGCCAGGGCTTGCAGATCACAGTGATGAATTTTTCTTGGGGAACATCCCTGTTTTGTCTGAGAGTGGACATGTGGTTTATGGCCAGTTGATGGCTGGTGGTCTGCCTTCCCTGAATGGTATCTTCTTCCTCGGAGCAGAAGAGCTGCATTTTGCTGATCAGGAGAAGGTGCGGCTTGATGGGAGTGATGTTTGGTGGCATGTCATCGGCAGGCCAGGTATCCTGGTTCTGGGTTCCAGCCAGGCTTTTGGTTGCCCCTCCGCCCCCAATCTCTGCCTGTCACCCCTCTGGATTTTGCATACAGCCTAGTACAGTGCAAAGAAGGATGTGACTTGCTCGGCTTAGTCATATGATTTCTAAACAAAAAAAAAAAAGGAAAAAAAAAAACACAAAGCGATGATCTTCTACTCAGGGTAAAACAAAAAATTCCCCTTCCACCAAAAAGCCTGAAATGTTGCAATAAGTTTTCTCATTTGGAATGTTTCATTAAGTTGTGTTATAGGGAAAAAAATTTTTTTATTTGTGTGTAGAATTATATCCATCTCTCTGCCTTTGGCTCCGAGTCAGTCATTGCCTCTTAAAATATAAAATACAATCCACACTAAAATGGAAAGTTTCTCTTAACTGGCTATATTAATGTAGTCATGAGTGCTCCCCACACTCATTGAACTCAGAAACTAGGTACGGCCCAAGGTCTAACGAGGTCTCTGCCTCCCAAGGGCCTCGTCCCTGCCTTGCTCGAGAAGCAGGGTGCCACACACAGGGCTGCCCTACTGAGTCAACGACGTCGGGCAGAAAGCAGCTGTAATTTTGCCTTCCTTTTTCACTCCCTAAGGTGACGAGATCTGCATTTGTCACTGTCCTGTTCCCTGCACCATTTCTCAGGGCCAGCCAAGACAGTATCTAGAGTAATCATTTACCTGGGAGCCAGGGGCCCTGCCTTTAACAGGATGTTCAGGGACAGATTCGGATGAGAGGGCAGAGGTGGTAACTGTGACTGCCGAAGAGAAGTGGGCTTAACTACAAGCAGCTGGTGGTGTTTCTCTCCTGGAGTCTAGTCAGGAGAATCCGTTTCTTTTTTGACCCTCTGCATTCTCCTGTCCAAAAGGCTGGTGGGTTCTGGGTGACCACTGACCTCAGCAGAAGTTGATGAGGCAGGAGGAGCCTTGTGTTACCACAGTGGGTTCGTCTCCCTGGAAAATAGCTGCTGAGTATGGGCTGTCCTCGGCTGTCGCTAGGCCGTGAGCTCGTGGGAAGCTTTGCAGTAGGTCCCTGGCTGTTTTCTCCACACCTTCTGAGAGCAGCACGGTGGGGTCCCAAGTGACCTCCCCCTGTGCCCACCCTAGGCTCACCTGAGATGTGGCTCCTGGGAGCTGAGGTGGAAACCAGGAGCCTGGTGAAGGCCGTCGGAAGTGCTCGTGGTTGAAATACTGCTTCCCCACTGCTGCGCTTGTGTTGGGTCTGCTCAGGTCAGTGACTTTTCGGCTCTCCTAAGGTTGAGGGTGATAAAGAAGCCGAATTTTAGGCTGACAGATTTTTCTAGTTGAAGTATCTGCCTTTTGAGGGTGACCAGAGATTATTACAGTGGGGCTTTGAAAACATCAGGGATGTGCTTAAAATGCTAGTGAGTGTGAAGAGCAGGTTTACTCCACAGGGTAGGCAGTCTCTCATTTCCTTCCTCTTCTAGCACTCTTCCCCGCCCTACCCCGCTTCTGTCAGCCTGGTCTCTAGTGCCAAAGGCCTTGGAGAACAGAGGGCCACTGAAAATGGAGCCACAAAGAGCCTTCATGAAGAGTGGTTTTCAAACCCAGGAACAATCCTAGGGTGAAGCTAGGGAAGGTGTGCAGACTTACAGCAGGTAAAATCATGCCTTTTTTCTTCCCATGGTAACCTTAATCACATTCCCCCTGTAGACTGAGACTTCCTGCTCCCACTGGCATCTCCAGTTAGACTGTCCCTTTACAGGGTGCTAGTCAGCCTGGGGAATTTGGAGGTTTGTGGGCTTGGCAGGTGGCCGCAAACTTTGGCCGGTACCACCAAATTGCCTTAGTGAATTTGGCCTTTTCCAGGTAGGTGAGGGAGGCATCGAGGGAAAGTGGCCCTACCTTTCCTGGCAGTTTGGCCAACCTCACAGGGGCATCAGTAGTTTGATGACAGGAATTGGTGTCACTCATTGAATCCCACCCCACCCCACCCCACCCCCCTTTAGAAGGAGATCATGGTACAAAGCCCAGGAGGGGCCTTAAGGTGTGAAGACTGCTCTGGATAGAAGCAAGGAACTTCTTTTCACCATCTCTGGAGAGTTAATAGACTGGAGAGTTTTACTTTCAGGGTCAAGGCAGCAGACTGACGGGGATAATGGGCGGGTGGGTTTTTCTGAGAGATTTTGTATAATGCTGAATGTGTCCAAAGGGACGGGTTTGCAGAACCTCATATTGGTATATTAAAGAAATAATTTTTTTAAAAAGCACTTTAGGTTATTTTATCTTTAACTCAATTGCTGCAATTTCTTTTGTGTGTGTATATATATATATACATATATATACTTTCCACAAAGTTTTATTTTTTGCTCAGAAAAAAAGTTAAATTGAGGTGTGACAAGAAAAGCACTTACCTTGGTGCAATATGTGTAGCTTGACGGTCGTTGTCCCATGTGACCCTGGCCTGGCCGCGTTTTTCCATTCTATCAGCCCTGTGCTATGAGGCTGTCCATAGGGAAACACTATTACGCATTCTCAGCAACTGCTCAATCTATGCAAGCCTTCCCTGTGTGCCCAAGGGCACCCCCTCAGGCTCTCTGAAGAACTGCTGCGGGTCCTGTTTTTTCTGCTGACTGTCGAGGCCCTTTTTCATCACTTCTGCTTGGCCCTGTGCCATCTTTGCCCCTTCGCCATTACACAGTGATGCCTGAGAGGAAGAAACCGGTTGTTCCTAGGTAGACACCTGGCCCTTTCTAGACTTTTACATTTGCAGTCAGGTCCATTGTCCTGAATCTAAAGCCTTCTCCAGAGTCACTGAAACCATGGATTTGTGGAACTGCAACAGTATTGCTAATGAGATTACAGTTTTCCTGCACCACCAATCAGAAATATGTTTGGGGAAGGTGGTGGGGGTCACAGGGGTACAACCCGCCATCCTGTGGGCTCTTTAAGCAAAAGCCTCCAGCCCTCATTGAATCCAGTAAACAAAGCTGTTAATAATCTGCTTTATGAACTTTCTTCCTTCCATCTCACTCCTCTCCCCCTCCCATTTTATCTTCAGTTTTCAGGCTACTCACGAATAGAGAAGTTTTAAAACATACTTCAGCCAAAGCAGAAAGATTTCCATAAATCATATGCAAATAGTTCTGCCATGACATAGATCAGAAATTGACCATTCCTAAATATTGGGGAGGGGAGAGGCAACAAAACTGAACTAAGCATATTTCTGATTGGTCATCAGTTTAGCCTCTTTTCTCTTGCATATGTTGAGAGGCAAGAGAAGGGGTCCCATGTTTCTTCTCACACCTTTTGGGGAAGCTGATGATCACTGTTTGGGCATTTCTGTTACTCCTGTTCAAGAGAGGGCTTCTCAGTCTGCACTGAAAAATGCAATTTAAACTGGATCTTTATGTCAATGTGTACATATTACAAGCTTTTTTTACTGGAAGCAAAGTTTAAAACCACACACTGCCCTTTTGGTGGTGTGCTTGTTGGGCCCCAAATTGGGTGATGATGTCATGTCACTTTCTCAGCTCAATGCAGTTTCTACTCTTTTTCTTACGGGGAAATTTTTCATAAAATCTTTTCTTCACCAAACCCAGGGGTGTTTTCTGCAATATCCTTGTTATCCTCATAGTGGTGCCAAGTCCAAGAGGCCTCTCTTGCCCTTTCCCCCTGTCCTCAGGCCTCCCCAGGGCGCTGTTTGACAAGACAGTCTACATCCTTTGTTGTGTTTTGGAGAATATGGGGGTGGGAGGTCGGAGTTCAGGGTGGCTGTTCTCTTTCCCTGTAAACTCCTAGTCCCTGTTTGGGGAAGGTGGCTGGAAACAGGGTTTTGCTGAATCTCTGGCTCAGATTTTCTGGCCAGGAGAGGCAAGACCCACGACAACCTTCTTTCTTTGACACACACTAGTCATTGGCCAGAGGTCTTGGTTGAAAGTTCTTTAAAATCCCAAATAGTTTTATTTGGATTATGTAAAAGCCTACCAAATTTATTTGTGAAACATGGGAACAACGGACTTCCACTGAGCGATATGAAAACGTTACAGGTTCAGTACTTCCAAAGGAAGAAACCTCTAAACCCAAAAAAGAATAAATATGAATTTGTATTTTTGAAGAATGTGAAATAATGGTGTTTGCTTAATTGCTCATTTTGTATAAACTTAATATTGTACTTTAAAATATCTGCTAAGAAGTGAAAATTTAACTTTTTGGAATTGAAAAAAGCAATATTAAATACTAATGAAATCCTAATTAAATGCTTATTTAAATCTGGTAGTATCTGTGGCGTTTCTTCCTAACCCTACCCATGACTGACAGTTTTCAACCACTTCCCCCCTCCCCAGTCATCAGAGTCTTTAGAGAGGGGACAGAAAGGAAAGGTCGGTCACCAGGAGAGTCTGCAGGATTCCTTTTAATAAAGGCTCTGCTGAAAGTGTTTTGTGGGGCTAGGAGCCCCCAAAGCATGAAATGGACATGTAACACCACCTGGATCCCCCAAAGCAGGCCAGATAATTCTGGCGAGCACTGCTGGTCTGCCCAAATCTGGGTAATCAGACTGGGTATTCACTCGTCGGCTACATTTCAGAGCTCAGCACTGCCTTCAGCCAGGATGAAGTGGGAGTGAACCCAGCTGCTAGCCGAGCTGCCTCCCCAGGCTGAGAGCCAAATACCAGCCATTACCAGTGAAGACTGGCCCCTTTATTGAAAGGGAGTTGTTCAGAGTCCAGCCACCAGCTCCGGGGAGGGAGAGAAGATAGGGCGCCCAGCTCGGGGATGGTCAGGGCTCCGCAGCTCCATCGCTAGCATCCTTTGGAAAGCCACCTCTGGAGGAGACAGCTGGCTGGGAGGGCGCTCCAGGTTTGGCTGAGACATTCTGATTGGAACGGGGCGGGGGGGGGGGGGGGGGGCGGGAGAGGAAAGAGAGAAAAGAAAAAGTGAGGTTGGGAGGAAAGGCCTTGGATTAGGCCCCGAAAGAGATGGCCATTTGGCATATGGATAGCACTTAACTTTTTCAAAGCCTCTCGTCCAGATGAAAGGCAGTAGTGGGTAAAGCGGTGGGGACACTCGTCCACCCTCCAGGGGAAGCCAGGGCTTAGCAAGTGCGGCCAGTGGGCAGTCCCCACCTCCCAGGCCCAGCCCGGGGTCGGCACTGACCCCGCCACCAGCCGGCTCCGGGCGCCGACGGCCCAGCTGCCGCAGCATCTCCTCGCAGGCGGCGATGGTGTCCAGGAGCTGCCGCTGCCGCTGCTCCACGGCGTCCAGCAGCTGCTGGGCGCGCTCATCCCGGGGCGGCTGCGGGGGTGGCCTCCCGCCGAGCCCCAGCCCCGCCTTCCCACGGTCCACGCCGGCAGCCTCCCTGCCCGGGAGAGAGCGAGACAGACGGTCAGGGCCGGCGCTTGCGCCGGGTCAGAACCCCTTCCCCTCGCCCCGACGGGCCCCCTCTCACCCCCGTGACCAGTCTGAGCCCGGGCCCCATTCCATCTCCGCCTGCGCGGCCCGACCACCGCCCCCCTTTCGGCCGCCCCCACCCCTCCGCCCCCAGCGCTGCGCTAGGGCTCCGCAAAGCAGCGCCCCGCCCCGTCCCCACCGGTCTCCTTCAATCCTCCTGGGGGTCGCGGTCCCTTTAAGTTGCCCGGCGCGGAGGTGGGGCCGAGCCTCCTGGACCGGAAGATGACTGGACGCGTCACTTCCTCCCGGAAGCGGGCCTAAGCGGATGTCTCCGGCACGTCCGTGCAGGGGGCTGAGGGCCGCGGTGGCTGCCAGCATGGGGTTGAGCGAGGGGCCGGCGGGCTCAGCCCGGAGCGGGCGCCTCCTTCGCCCGCCAAGCCCGGCGCCGGGGGCCCGGCTGTTGCGGCTCCCGGGGAGCGGGGCCGTGCGGGCCGCAAACCCGGAGCGCGGCGGCTGGACCGAGGCGCTGCGGGCCGCCGTGGCCGAGCTGCGCGCCGGCGCCGTGGTGGCCGTCCCCACCGATACGCTGTACGGCCTGGCCTGCTCGGCGAGCTGCTCGGAAGCACTGGACGCCGTGTACCGTGTCAAGGGCCGCAGCGAGACCAAGCCGCTGGCCGTATGCCTGGGCCGCGTGGCCGACGTCTACAGGTGAGGCCGCCCCGACCCGGCCCCAATGGGGGCGGCACCGCGGGAGGGGTTTCCGGTGACAGGCTTGGGAGACTGAGGCGCAGAGAGCGGGAGGGGCTTGTCCAGGCTCACCCAGGAATCCGGAACTGGAAATGTGTATGGAGCAGTTAGCGTCTGCCAGGCCTTGAACGTGATCGGAGACTCGGCGCTGAAAGAGGCAGGCGGAGTCCCTATTCTCCTGGCGTTTTTTGTGATAATGGGTTGGGGGTACTCCTACGGCTTAAGAAGAAAGGAGGGGGAGCACGGTAGCTTAAATTAACAGAGGGAGTACTTTGAAGAGAATAAAACTCGGAGCGCGGTAGCGGTGCAGCTGTTGTAGTCTCCCAGACCAGAGACCTGTGGGATCCAAGCCTGGGGTGCTCCTCTGGAGCCCTGCCTTCTGCTCAGGCTCTTGGGGGTGAAAAGGGAAGACAGGCGGATCCCGCTGTAGCCCCTCAGGCCGCCTTTCCTGGATCTTCCTAGGTTCTGGGACAGGACCAGCGGTGCCTTTCATCTGGTTGGGTTTGCGCCCCCTTTGTTTCCCAGGTACTGCCATGTGAGAGTACCCGAGGGGCTCCTGACGGACCTGTTGCCAGGACCAGTGACCCTGGTAATGGAACGCTCAGAGGCGCTCAACAAGGACCTGAATCCTTTCACTCCTGTGAGTCAGATTTTCTCTTGTGTCCCCAGACTCCTGCCATTGGCTTTCACTAGGATCCAGGCCAGGCCCATTCCCCACCCCTTCCAACCTTTTTATGATCCCCTTTCTCCTGCCTCATAGCTTGTAGGCATCCGGATTCCTGACCACGCCTTCATGCAGGACTTGGCCCAGGTGTTTGGGGGGCCACTCGCGCTCACCAGTGCCAACCTCAGCTCCCAGTCCAGCTCTCTGAATGTTGAGGTGAGAGTAAACCCAGTCCTCCCTGCAGAAACATCAGCCAGGCCACAGTTTCCTCTGAAGAGGGGTACGGGGGGAATGATGGTTCACTGGAATTGCCTGGCAGGAGAGCCACCCTTTCGGTTTCATAGTAGGAAGTCTGCCCATTTGGCAGGGGTGGGAGAAATCCAGAATAACCTCAGAAAAGTTTTAAAGTTGGAGAATCAAGGGGGAGAATCTATTTTTCTTCCCCTTAGTGTCTTTTTAACAATAATAGACATCATAAGTATGTTTTTCCCGCTCCCCCCCCTCCCCAGCAGAAGACTGAAAAGTTAAGTCACTTATCCCAGGGACTCCTTTTTCTGTTCTCTTAGCTCTGCCACAAGCTAGGTCATTTAACAGTTCAGTCCACAGCTCTGAAGGGAAACTCCTTTCCACAGCCCAGGGGTTGAGTGCCAATGGCATGCACTTGCTGAGTCCACCTGTTTCTCTTTGCTACCCTGATCCAGAGTTCTCCTGAGATTCAGGATTAGAGTGGAGAGACCAGAGTGACCATCCAGTCCAGCCAGGATAAAATAACTTGCATACAGTCACACAGAGTTTGGTGGAAAGTCAAGGGTAGAGCCCACAGCTTTGGATTCCCACCGAGGTCTTCAGTCATTTTACTCCTCCCTCCCAAACTGAAGCAGTGTGTGAAATTTCCTCTTGCCATAGCAAGATTGTCTTTAAGCTCTCAATAGGTGCTCCTTGGGGTGCTAATGTGGGGAGCTCCACATCTCATGGGATGCAGTATCTGGGGTACAAATGCAGTGTCTTTGTCACAGCTGACCCTAGAATTTCCTTCCCCTGCTTAGAGGAAGATGCCTGCTGCTTCAGAGCTGTGTGGCCTCTGCCTATGTGCCCTGTTTGTGGTGTGACATTGCAGATGCTTCTCCCTCTTCTCAGGAATTCCAGGACCTGTGGCCTCACTTGTCCTTGATCATTGATGGGGGACCCATTGGGGATGGCCAGAGCTCAGAGTGTCGATTAGGCTCAACTGTGGTTGATTTGTCTGTGCCTGGAAAGTTTGGCATCATTCGTCCTGGTTGGTGAGTCTCTTTTTTTTTTTCCTGTGGCACAGGGATAGGATTGGGGGGGGGGGTGGGGGGGGTGTTGTGAAATGCAGTTTACAAAAGCGCCTTGACCAGGAAAAAAAGAAAGTTTTCCCTCTTATCTTGCCTTGAGTGGGGTGGGAAGTTTGAAGAGGTGGTGGGTGGAGTGGAACTAAGTTTGTTAGTCGTTTCCTGGCTTTTTCAGGATTCAAAGGGTCCATCACGGGTTTGATGAACAGAGCATATTACAAAGAGTTTAGAGGTCCCTGATCTCCAGACTCTGGTGGGCTCGGGGCTTTAAGAAGTCAAACCCTAATTTGTCCTCCATTTCCTCCCCAGTGCCCTTGAAAGTACTTCAGCCATCCTCCAGGAGTATGGGCTGCTCCCCTCACATGGATCCTGCTTGTGACACTCTGGAGGAGGGTGGGCCCAATGACTGGTGCTGGACACTATGTGTCCGACCGCTGGTAGCTGGCAAGGCCTCATTTGCAGAGGCTGCTGGGGCTACAGTGTTAGTAGTCTGACCTTTTAAGGCAGAGTCTCTCTGAACTGTATAGACCAGAACTCAGAAGCTGCTGGTTAAGCCTCACACCTGGTTTGGGAAGTTATATTAATTTATCTATAATTTCCTATATTAGCTAAAAGCTGAATAGAAATTTTAAGTCCATTCCTAGGATGGCCTGATTCGGTTAACAGATAGGTTTCTTCTTCCTTTGATTTTTGAAAAATAAATAACCAGTTTGCAATCTAATGAGAACCTCTTCTCTGGTGGGTAGTGGCATTTAAGAGTCTCAAGTGACCAAAGGCACTTTGTGCTTCTGAAGCTGGAACCAGGTTAGGATAAAACCTGTGGAGCCATAGGCCAAACACTACTTCCTCTGAACTAGGGCTGGTTCTGTGCTGTAATTGCCTGGCGGCAGAGTCATCATTTTGGTCTAATGATGGGAAGTAAGCTCAGTTGGGGCAGGGGGGTCCAAATTATTAAAGAATGTTGGAAAATCTCTGCTGTTCTTTTTAGCCACTTTTTTCTTATTTATTTATAATACAAATTATATAATGATTATACCTGTAATACCGTTATTTAAATCCAGTGTCTACTCCGCAGCTTTTATTTACATATATATATCTCTCTCAAGTATTAAACATCATTATTGTTGGGCATTTGAACTTTGTTTTTTCTTTAATAGAAAAGAATGCTATTAAACATCTTTGTAAATGTTTTATTTTTCTTCTTTTGAATTAGTTCCTTGGTGTAGGAGTACTGGGTCCAAGTATATGGACATTTTTATGGCTCTTGATACAGGTTAGCCTTCAAAAGAACTGAATCAAGTTGCATTACCATCAGCAGTGTGTGAGAACTACTGCCTCTTCCCCCTGGTCCGACTGTACTTTTAGTGTTTTTAAAAATGTGTATGTGTGAGATGAAGCCTCATTGTCACTCCTTGTAAATTACTCCAGGTCACCATCCAGCCCTTTTCACCTGTCTCTGCCTGCCTTGGTTTCCTTCCCCAACTGAATCACAGCAAGGGCACCAGGCCTGCCCAATCCATTGGTGGGATTTAGTACCTGTTACCTAACGGAACTGGGGAATCCTTCTGGTGACCAGTAGGGCCCACTTCCTTCCCTCCCCCCTCATATCCCAGTTCTCAGAATTGGGATTCAGTCTTAAGCCCATAAACTCAATACAGTGGTTTCGAATGCATGTTTTCAAGTAGATCTTAAGACTCTTGCCAAGAGGGTGTCCCAGGGCCTGCTTTGAGGATCCCTGCAATTAGCATATTAGTTTGTAAATAAGCCTTGGTTTGTTAAATATTCCCTCTAGAAGTCTTGTTGAAACTACTAATTTCTTAAGCAAAATCGGCCTTTCCATTGTGTTAATATGGTAGCCAGCCCATCCCACTTGTCAGTTCATCACAGAATCTGACTGAGGGGTCAGAGTTTGTTGACCTGAAGGGAGCAAAAGGAAAGCTGGCTGGAGGATAGGAACAACACGTCATATTTAATACAAATCACAGTAGCACTGAAAACGGCTCTAGTGAGTGGGCCTCATTCAATTCAGGTGGCTAATGGGGAGGGGGGTGTCCTAGTCCTCTCCTGGAGCTAAATACTCATCTAGGAAAGTGAAGGCTCTGGAGCACAGAGGTGTTTTCTTCGAGGAAAATGAAGTGAACTCCCAGCACTGGGGAAAGCTGCAAAAAGGAAAAACTCATAGCTGTGCTTAGCCACTAGCTACAAGGCCACACCAAATAAGGAATAAGGAAAGCTGGCTCCTATAAGTTTAGGAAGACAGGAGCCATTCCTGGTCACGTTTTCCCCCAGCACCTGGCACGTGGTAAGGTGCTCGCCAAGGGTGTGTTGAATAAACGTGTGAATGCTCAGGATTATTTCTTGATAATTGGGTCTGGTAATCTACCGGGAAGAGCTTAAACCAAGAATTTTCCCTTTTATAAAGTCTTAAGTATGGTTTCTTAACTTGGGGAAGACAGCCAATGTGGGAGGGAGGCCTGGGGAGGACGCAGGCTGGCAGAAGAGCAGGTGCATGCTGGCCCAGAGCCCTGACACCCTTTTACGTGCAGTGACTTGGTTACTCCACAACACCAACCAGCTGAGTTCCAAGCTAGAAGGAATTGTTTTAAAGTGTGACTGACGACGTGGAGCTGCCTGGGGGTAAGTGCAGTCCCCTGCCAGCCCCTGGGTTTCCCACTCTGGAACACCCCCTAGTTTTCCTGTCCCTGCAGGACACCCACCTGCCTGAGGAACTAGCTCTGTTCCCCATGGGCCCTGACTTGATGGGCCCAGAAGCACCTAGCTGCTGACTTGGGAGCAAGTGCCTATAACCTCAGCTGAGCCCCGTGTGGTGCCATCTTCCAGAGAGGCTGGGATTCAGCACCTCCCACCCTGGCTTCGAGGTGCCTCACATCAGCCACTGCTCCTTCTCTTTGATGAAGTGCTCCGCCCAGCGTCGTGTCAGCTCCAGGTACAGGCTGGGCTGATGAGGCAGGTAGTCCAAATACAGCCGAGTCGGCGTCTTCTTGGGAATGGCCTTCTCAATCTGGGTGCCCTCGTGCCACTCGTTGAAAGAGGTGATAGAGACAATCTCGGGCCTCACGGTCAGGGCTGCCTGCAGGGCCGTCTCATAGTACTTGCCATTGACCCTGTTCCGCGTATTGTGGTTGTTCCAAGGCCTGATGCTGGTGTCAATGTAGCCAGGCCCCACGCTGGGAATGAACATGAGGTTGTTGGCATCGCAAAAGTTCTTCACAGCTTTCCAGTTCTGATGGGAGGAGCCGAAAGAGAAACCGTTGGAGGCGAAGTAGGTGTACATGCCATCAAATCCAGCGGCCAGGATGTCATGGGTGTGGCCCTCCTCCACCAGCAGTGCTATGAAGACCCCATCATAGGGGGTGTTGCGGATTGAGTGGGGCCCGCTTGGTGTCAGGAGGTGGGCCCAGGCTTCAGGGGATGTCAGGTAGGAGTCGTAGATATAAAAGAGTGGGAGGCTCTTACCCATGCTGTTCTTGTAGCGGTAAAATGCACCATGGGAGCCATACCTGAGGAGCAAGAAGAAGAAAAGGCTGAGCCAGCAGCCTAAGAGGAAAGAAGCCAGCACACCCAGAGGACTGGCCATGGATGAGAGCTTTCCTGATGCCCAAGCACAATTTTGGATCCAGCTGGACTCATCATGCCTCTAAGCAAGAACCCAGTCTTGCCCCTCCCCCCAGCCTTGTCATTCTTCTGTTCAAGCCTCACTTCCCTGTCCCAGGACTTCACTGGGGGCTCAGACAGTAAAGCATCTGCCTGCAATGTGGGAAACCCGGGTTTGATCCCTGGATTGGGAAGATCCCCTGGAGAAGGGAATGGCAACCCACTCCAGTATTCTTGCCTGGAGAATTCCGTGGACCGAGGAGCCTGGCAGGCTACAGTCCATAGGGGTTGCCAAGAGTCTGAGTGATTAACACGACAAATTACAACCACTTATCCCAACCCCAGGCCAAGCCACCACCATCTTCCATCTGGACTATACTGACAGCCATGTAGCTGGTCTCCAGGCTCCTACTTCTATCTCCCTATAATCCAGCCTCTTGTTTATTTTTTGGCTGTGCTTAATCCAGTCTCTTTTTAAAGTGTAAATCAGATCTCACTGCTCCTTACTGAGACCAGCAAAGCCCCACCCACTTGATCTGGCCTGCCTACCTCCATTCCTGCTATGACCCCATCTATCTCTACATTCCAGCTATACTGGCTGCTATCAAAGTTGTCCCATCAGATGGCCTTTGCATCTGACAGCCCTCTTTATGGGGTTTTCTGCCTGTCCCAGATCTCTGCACAGCTGACTCGTCATTTAAGTGCTGGCTCACATGTTTTAGAGAAGCTCACTTGATCACTCATTCTAAAGCCGTTTCTTAAGCACATTCTTAACACATTATTCTGCTTTATTTGGTTATTACTTTTTCATAGTATGGGTCACTATTTGTTTTGTTGTCTGTAACTACTGTCTGCTCCACTGTACCTCAAACACACACTAGGTTGTAAACTCTGCTAGCCCTACACATTGCTAAACAACTGGGACTTAGGACAGTGCCTGGACACTGGAAAGCACTCAATAAATAATTTTTGAATGAATAAATGAATGATAGATGCAAGCCATTTACAAGCCACTTTTCACATTTATTAGCTTATGTAACTCTCACAAAGGGTTTCCTGGTGGCTCCACGGTAAAGAACTCGCCTGCTAATGCAAGAGATGCAGTTTCGATCCCTGGGTCAGGAAGATCCCCTAGAAAAGGAAATGGCAACCCACTCCAGTATTCCTGTCTGGAGAATCCCATGGACAGGAGCCTGGCAGGCTGTGATCCATGGGGTTACAAAAGAGTTAGACACGACTTAGTGACTAAACAACTCTCACAAGACTCAAAGGTTAAGAGGCTTACTTCTGATCACAAAACTGAGACCATAGAACCAGAATTCAATCCCAGCTTGCTGTCTCTAAGCCCAATACTGTTTCACTCTTTTTAGATGCTGGGGACACAAGTATTCTGCCCTTTTGTCTCTTGACCTATACCTCCAAACCTTCTATCCCTGCCCCCATTTTGATCCCCACCAAAATCCAAGCCTTGGAGCCTTACGTGTCAATAATGTACTTGATGTTGTCATGCAGAGTGATGTCATCTCGGCCCTTGTAGGGTTGGATGTGGAAGGCCACCTGCCACAAACACAAGGGATATTGGTTAGGTGAGTATCTGTCCAGGGGCAAAACCTATGAAGTCTGTGCTCCAGCCATGGCCTGAAGAAGAAGCAGAATTCAGGAGAGACCTGGCAGTGGTGGGGACAATGTAAACAAAAGCAGTCACTCCCTTCGGGCCCAAAAAAAGAGGAGTGAGAAGTTTCCCCACCTCCCACAGCAGAGCCTTAGGAATCATTCCAATGGGCTATTGCAGGCTAATAGATTTTAACTTAATGTGCCAGCTCCCAGTGATCGGCACTAGCTGCTTGAAACTACGGAAAGAAGTTTGATCTGGTTTGATCTTGCAGTCTAAGGGTCTGTCAAGAGTCTTCTCCAGCACCACAGTTTGAAAGCATCAATTCTTCGGCACTTAGCCTTCTTTATGGTCCAACACTCACATCTGTATATGACTATGGGAAAAATCATAGCTTTGACCATCCAGAACTTTGTCAGCAAAGTAATGTTTCTGCTTTTTAATATTCTGTCTAGGTTTGTCATAGCGTTTCTTCCAAGGAGCGAGCATCTTTTAATTTCATGGCTGCAGTCACCATCTGCAGTGATTTTGGAGCCCAAGAAAATAAAATACATCACTGTTTTCACTTTTTCCCCTTCTATTTGTCATGGAGCGATGGGATCAGATGTCATGATCTTAGTTTTTGGATGGTGAGGTTTAAGCCAGCTTTTCACTCTTCTCCTTCACTCTCATCAAGAGGCTCTTTAGTTCCTCTTCACTTTCTGCCATTAGAGTGATATCATCTGTATATCTGAGGTTGTTGATATTTCTCCCGGCAAACTTGATTCCAGCTTGTGATTCACCCAGCCCAGCATTTCACATGATGCACTCTGCATGAAGTTAAATAAGCAGGGTGACAATATACAGCCTTGACATACTCCTTTCCCAATTTGGAACCAGTGCATTGTTCCATGTATGCTTCTGACTGTTGCTTCCTGACCTGCATACAGGTTTCTCAATGTGACAGGTAAGGTGGTCTGGTATTCCCGTTTCTTTTAAGAATTTTCCAGTTTGTTGTGATCCACACAGTCAAAGGCTTTAGCATAGTCAATGAAACAGAAGATGTTTTTGTGGAATTCCCTTGCTTTCTCCGTGATCCAATGAATGTTGGCAATTTGACCTCTGGTTCCTCTGCCTTTTCTAAATCCAGCTTGCACATCTGGAAGTTCTTGGTTCATGTACTGCTGAAGCCTAGCTTGAAGGATTTTGAGAAGTACCTTGCTAACATGTGAAATGAGCATAATTGTATGGTAGTTTGAACATTTTTTTGGTATTGCCCTTCTCTGGGATTGGAATGAAAACTGACTTTTTCCAGTCTTGTGGCCACTGCTGAGTTTTCCAAATTTCCTGGCATTTTGAATGCCACACTTTGACACCATTTTCTTTTAGGATTTGAAATAGCTCAACTGGAATTCCATCACCTCCACTAGCTTTTTCGTAGTAATGTTTTCTAAGGCCCACTTGATTTTACCCTCTAGGCTGTCTGGCTCTCCGTGAGTGACCACATCATCATGATTATCTGAGTCACTAGGACTTTTTCATAGTTTTTCTGTGTATTCTTGCCACCTTTTAAAAATCTCCTCTGCTTCTGTTAGGTCCTTACCATTTCTGCCCTTTATCATGCCCATCCTTGCATGAAATGTTCCCTTGATATCTCCAATTTTCTTGAAGAGATCTCTAGTCTTTCCCATTCTATCATTTTCCTCTATTTCTTTGCATTGTTCACTTAAGAAGGCTTTCTTATCTCTTCTTGCTATTCTCTGGAACTCTGCATTCAGTTGAGTATATCTTTCCCTTTCTCCCTTGCCTTTATCTTCTCTTCCAAGTGATATTTATTTAGTCTCCCATTTATCCTCTATTTATTTTTCCCAAAGTATTTTTTCCAGAACTCAAAAAATAAAGAGTGACACAGGCAGTATTTATTAGATCCCTGTCTCCCAGCATCACAATTACTATGTATATGCATACCTAGACTAATGCCAAGAGGTGCCATCCCTGTGGTGGAGAAAGGGACATCTCCAGCATGAGCTACAGAGCACTTGCCCTCTTCTTGGAGACTCACCTGGATGTTGTACTGATGGGCGGTGTCCAGAATGGCAGGCACCAGGTCATCTGAGGGTTCCCCGTTGTCATCAGCCATGCCGGGTGGGTACCAGGACAGGACCAGGACGCCTGAGACACAACACAGAGAATACTTCAGAGACACACGGTACCCCACAACAGAGATTTGCTTCCTCACAGACCAACTCCAACTGCCAAATGGTTTCTGAATGAAATCTTAATTGAGGCTCCTGTTAGGTTCTTTTCTTGCAGATCAGATCCCTGAGCTGGGAGCCCGGGAGCTGTCCACGCTTGCGGTGCTGAAGCTCTGGCTGCAGGAACCCTAATGTTCCAGGTCAGGAAGGAGCCTTGAAGCCCTGACGGCCTCTGGCCTGCATTAGCAAGTGGTTAAACAAAGGGGAATGGGTGGCCAATGCCTCATCCACCTGGAAGATAGGAATCCACAGCCCTATCTCTGGAGGAGAGGAGCATCTCTGAGGTCCCTCAGGGAGAGGAGCCCTGAGCAGAGGTCATCTTCCCCTTCTTGTGGGAAATAACATTTGTCTCAACTGTCGACCCTCTGTCTGTGCTGAGGGACCGCGTCTGTGCTATCTGTCTGTGAATACTTCCCACCATTGTCTCTGGCATTCAATCCCCCCCCGCCCCCCCTCCAACCTCCACACTCATTAACCATTTCCAGAGAAACTGAAATGTACTGTAAAATCCAGCAGAATTCAGTGTCAAAATCTGAAATGTCAGCTTCCCCATCCTAGCCTGCCTACAGATGGACTTCTATTCAAGCAGAGTATCTGATGAAAAAGCCCCCAAGACTCCTTACTGCAAATAGAACAGGGTCTGTCATACAGCATGTGCAAACTTTCCTTTCTGCTGCCAGAAAAAGTAGGAAGGGCTGAGGCTCTACCCTGTCCCTGGTGTGAAAGCAGAGGCCATCCCAGGTGCTACTGCTTTGAACTCCAGACTCCTTCGGGGACCAGAGTACCCAGGCCTCACTTAGCCAAACCTAGAAGCGCAACAGACATGAAGACTGCCCTCCTCTCCTCACTGTCCCTGGGACAGCCCTGGTGCAAACGCCTTCCACTGACCCTCCCAGCAGCTCCGCCCTCGGAAAGGGCCCTGGAATTGGGGGTGGGGGGAGGGGGTTGTCAGAGGGCCGAGGTGGAGGGGTCGGAATACAAGAGATGGGGGCGGTGCCTCTTGGTGAGCATGGAATTAGAGTCCTGGAAGAGAAGGGGTAAGAAGCCAGGCTGACTGAGGGGGACAGGAGCAGTGGAAGTTGGGGTGTGGGGACGAAGAAGGGCGAGGCTGGGGGCCCGAGCGATGGGGGAGGGAGGAGCTCACCGATGGCGGCTTCCTTCAGCTGGGTCATGTGCTCCCGTAGCACTTCGGGGTCCCGGGAACTGTAGGGCCCCAGCTCCGGGTAGAAGCTGGAGCCCAAGTCATCAGGAGGAGTGTGGCGGCCGCGGGGGTAGCTGGCCGAGATCTTGGGGTCCCAGTGCGGCACCATGACGTGGTCCCAGTGAATGTAGTGGCCTTCGCGCCCGGGGCTCCCGTACCACGAGTAGTAGAAGGCGTGCAGGTCCGAGTAGACGCGCAGACTCTGCCCCGGGGCGGGTTCGGCCTCCGCTGGGGCCGGCCCTGGGGAGCTGCCCGGGCCCGCGGTGCGGGGCGGCGGCGGCGGCGGCGCGGCGGGGGCGGCCGGGGCCCGGGCGGCCGGCGCGGGGGCCCCCTCCGGGTGTCGTTCAAAGGGCGCCAGCTCCAGGCCGGGGCCTAGCGCCGGGAGTCCGTCCGGAGCCTTGAGCGTGCGGAGGCCCATGAGAGTGCCGAAGGCGAAGAGCAGCACCAAGAACAGCGCGATGCAGGCGCGGCGCCGCCGCCGGGCCATGGCGGCCCCCGCGTTCCCTGCGTCCCGCCGGGCTACCTCCGCGCGCGCCGCGCCATGGCTGCCCGCCCGGCTCCCGCGCGTCGCGCAGCCGGCGCGCGTCCCAGGGAGACGGCGACGCCGAGAGCGGCGTGGGCGGCTCCCCGCCTCTCCCCCGCAGTGCGGGCGGGCCCAGCACACAGAGAATGCAGGCGGCGCAGACCAAGTGGGCGCCAGCCGCGGGGGTGTGGACGGGGACCCAGACCGAGAGTGGCCGAGCGGAGAGGTCCCGGGCCAAGGGGCCGGGGTCTGAGTCAAGGCGGACGGCTCGCGGAGGGTTTGTCGCCTTTCAGCCTGGGGCAGCGGTGGAGCAGCCCGCTGGGGGACAAGGACCGCTCTCCTTCTGCAGCCCAAGAGAAGGTCTGGGCGATGGCGCTGGAAGGCGTGGGAGCAGAGGGCAAGGTGGGAAAGAAAGCAGTGTCTGTGATAGTTCTCTCCAGTGACCTCCTTCCCAGCTGTACCCTCTTTACTGACTTCACCTTGTCTGCCCATCTCCGAGATCTTCCTTCTTTGCCCCAGGTCCCGCGTCCCTCGGACACCTTCTCAAACACCCCAGGCAGAATATGAATCCCGGGTTAAAGGGGCGTCGGGAAAACCCCAGGTAAAACACTACAGAGCCTGGGAGAACGAGGGAGACCGTGACTTGCGCAAGGTCACACGGACCGGGCCTTAGTCCCAGGATCAGGACTGTCTCCTTGCCAGAACTCTTGTCCACCCTGCCTGCTCCCGACCCAGCTGTCCCAAGCACTCTGTCCTTGGACAACCTCCTATAGTTAGTGAGGCCTAAATGACATGGCTACCATAAAGCACTGTTGCAGGGCCTAACAAAATTAGCACTCAACACGCTGGAAGTTCCTTCTGGACTCCGAGCTCCAGAGGACAGGCCCTGGGTCACATTTACCTTTTACGAATCCAAGCTTGAAGAACAGGGTTTGACACTCAGTTCCCAGGGTTGCTTGTGGAGTGAATATTTTGGTGTAATATTCTATAGACAATGATAAGTTTTTCACTCAACGTTAAGTCCAGACTCTGCATTATTCATTATTTCACTTATTCAGAAAAAGTTTTGTTTATGTCTGCCTCCTTCTCTGGTCCATGAAGACAGCAAGTTTGTTTCATGAGCAACTATATCTACAGTGTCTAAAACAGAGCTCGGCATAGTAGTAGGCACTGGATTCTTATTTCATGAGTAAGTGAATTGTAGGAAACCCAGAAAGAGGAGGAGCAAGACTGGGAAATGTGGGTAGCTTTGGAGCCCAGGAAACTGCATTCAAGGAAATTCGTGGTAGTGTTGCTGAAAAGTTAACCAGGTGATCTAAGACAGAAATGGAAAATTTTATTCGAGCAGAATTTAAGGACTAGAAGCTGGGAGGAGCCTCTCAGAAATCTGAGAACTGTTTCATTCATTAGAAATCAAGGCAGAGTTAGGCCTGTACATTAAATGATGTACTGTTGACAGTTTGCATAATCCAGATCAAAACCTCATGTGATTTCTTAGCAAGAAGGAGTGCTATTCAGATGCTGGAGAAGGTGAGGAGAAAAGGGAACCCTCATACACTGTTGGTGGGAATGTAAGATGGTGCAGCCACTTTGGAGAACAGTGTGGAGGTTCTTTAAAAAAAAAACTAAAGTTACCATATGAACCTGCAACCCCACTCCTGGACATATATCTGAAGAAAACTCTGACTCAAAAAGATACATGCACCCCAGTGTTCATAGCAGCACTATTTCGAACAGTCAAAACCTATAATAAGCAACCTAAATGTTCTTCAGCAGATGAATGGATAAAGATGTGGTGTATATAGACATTGGACTACTACCCAGCCATAAAAAACGATGAAATAATGCCATTTGCAGTAACATAGATACAACTAGAGATTATCATATTAAGTGAAGTAAGTCAGAAAGAGAAAAATATCGTATGGTATTACTTACATGCGGAATCTAAAATATGACACAAATGAATCTACCTATGAAGCAGAAACAGAATGAGGGACATAAGCCAGTGGTTGCCAAGGGAGAGAAGGGTGGGAGAGGGTTGGATTGGGGTTTTGAGATTAGTGGATGCAAACTGGTATATAGAGGATGGATCAACAGCAAGGTCCTATTGTGTAGCATGGGGAACTATATTCAATATCCAGTGGTAAACCGTAATGGAAAAGGATATGAAAAAGAATGTCTATCTACGTATACTTTGCTGTACAGAATATGTGCCTATAGTTTCACTGTACAGTGGTAATCAACACATTATCATTCAACTGTATGTCGATAAAAAATAAACTTCTAAAAAGAGAAAAAACAGTGTGAATCAAGTAGAATTTTAATTTCAGCTCCAATAGCAAACATCTGAATCAAACTGGCTTATCCAGTGTGGAAATATACCATCTCACAATGCAGGAAACCCAATAGGAGAGCAGAGTGGCAAAAGCTCTGGTTCAACATTGTCATCAGGGACCTGAGAAGCTTTTATCTCACCGCTCTGCTGCCCCCATCATTGACTTCATACCAAAACTGGCTCCACTCAAAACACAGAATGATGGCCACAGACAGCTGAGGCTGCATGCTTCCTTTCGCCATTCAACAAACAACAGTAACACTGATTTCTCTTTCCCAGCAGTCCAAAGCAGCACTGGTGGCATAGTGGTGAGCAAAGCTGCCTTCCAAAAGTCCTAAGCAAGCATTTCCTTGAATTACATTGGTCTAATATGATTTAGGTCTGTTCGACCCAAACAGATTTTTGCCATGGGGAATGGAATGACCATGACTGGATTAGATTAAATTTTTGGAGTTAATTAAATGTTGGGGAGAAGACCATAATGTCTTCTAGACATTAGATGGAATTAGATGACTAATGAATTAGATGACTTTGGAAATGAGTAAAAATAAGAGGAAAAGACTACAGATGAAACACTTGGGAATACCAGCATTTATAAGTTGGGCACAGGAAGAACAAGTGAAGAGAAAGAATCATTAAAGAGGAAGAGAATTGGGATTGGGTAGTAGTTTTAGATAACCAGTGGGAAGGTTCCCCAGCTGTCAATGATTTCACTATTTCTGGGACTGCCCTGCAATGCAATAGTGGTCCCCATTGGCCTTGCCTGGAGTCCTTGACACTACCACCCATCCATAATGGTTTGATCCAAGACTGGAATTCTGACCCAAGATGAACACTGACCCAAGGGTCCTTAATTACAATCCTTCTTTGGAATTTTTCTCTCTGGTGCTGAGGATAGATTCAGTCTTTCTCTCAAAAGGTAATGCTATTAAAAGAGAAGGAACAAGGGACAGAGAAGAACTTAGTGTTATGGCGTTCCTGATTTGTTTTCCTTGAGGCCTGGCTCCAGTGTGAGACACTGAAATAATCTAATAAGTTATCTTTTGATTCTAAGCAAGATGATCTCACAGAGCAGACTTTATTGGTTGCCCATATTAACCTAACACAGTGAAACAGCCAGTTGTTTCATCTGAAAAACAGGTTTCTTCAGGAGCAGCAAAGAATTGCAATTTGGGACAACAAGTATCTGGAGAACCACATGCAAGTCCTGGTAAAACCAAGGAGAGGAAACTTTATAGGGAAGGGGGAGTTGGGAGGGGCCCCTGTAAACAAAACCTTGTGGCTCAGCTAGTAAAGAATCTGCCTGCAATGTCGGAGACCTAGGTTCGATCCCTGGGTAGGGAAGGTCCCCTGGAGAATGGAAAGGCTACCCACTCCAGTATTCTGACCAGGAGAATTCCATGGACTGTATAGGCCATGGGGTCGCAAAGACTCGGACATGATTAAGTGTCTTTCACTTTCACTGTAAACAAAAAATCCACTGGAGGAAACTGGGAGCTTGAAATATAGTGGCTTTTCAATGGCTTAGTCATGCCAGTCTCTTACTGGCTGAGTTGTTGCCAGGCAAAGAAAAAATCTGTATTTCTGCTGAAATAGGAGGGAATGGGACAGGGCAAACCTTTAAAAGAATGACATAGCTGTCAGTCAGTTCAGTCGCTCAGTTGTGTCCAACTCTTTGTGACCCCATGGACTGCAACATGCCAGGCTTCCCTGTCCATCACCAACTCCCAGAGCTTGCTCAAACTCATATCCATTGAATTGATGATGCCATTCAACCATCTCATCCTCTGTTGTCCTCTCCTCCTTCTGCCTTCAATCTTGCCCAGCATCAGGGTCTTTTCAAATGAGTCAGTTCTTCACATCAGGTGGCCAAAGTGTTGGGGCTTCAGCTTCAGCATCAGTCCTTCCAATGAATATTCAGGACTAATTTCCCTTAGGATGGACTGGTTGGATCTCTGTGCAGTCCAAGGGACTTTCAAGAGTCTTCTCCAACACCACTGTTCAAAAGCATCAATTCTTTGGCACTCAACTTTCTTTATAGTCCAACTCTCATATCCACACATGACTACTGGAAAAACCATACCTTTGACTAGATGGACCTTTGTCGGCAAAGTAATATCTCTGCTTTTTAATATGCTGTCTAGGTTGGTCATAGCTTTTCTTCCAAGGAGCAAGCATCTTTTAATTTCATGGCTGTAGACACCATCTGCAGTGATTTTGGAGCCCCCCAAAAGTCTGTCACTGGTTCCATTGTTTCCCCATCTATTTTCATGAAGTGATGGGACTGGATGCCATGATCTTAGTATTTTGAATGTTGAGCTTTAAGCCAGCTTTTTCACTCTTCTCTTTCAGTTTCATCAATAGGCTCTTTAGTTCCTCTTGCTTTCTACCATTAGGAAATAGCTGTCAGATATTATATAAACTGGTTTGAACCAACTAGGTCTAAGATGGCAGAAGATTTGACTTCCAAATGGAACTTGAGCCTCATTATAATACATTAGCATGAAAATATAATGCATTAGTAATGATAAATGATACACCCACCAACAATGTGACAGTTCAGAGCTAACTATAAAACCCCCAAAAGTGGGCAATGGCCCTATTACTAGAAATCCCTACCCCTTTCCAG